AACCATTTGCTTTGTCTTGCACTTTAAAGAGGAACTGAGCTCTGGAAGATGTTCCCAAATATAGTCAGGCAGAGGGCAAAGGAATAGTCACCAGTATTGTCTGTGGTCTCTCCGCAGCTGATCTTTTCCCCATTCCTGACTTACCATGCCTTGTTCTACATTGTATCTCTATGTGGTGACAGCCCTCTTGGTAGAATCAGGGTATTGCTTCCTCATGTCAGAGCCTCCAGCAAGGAAAACGGTGAGCAGCACAGTAGTGACACCACCAAATCCACTCCATATCTTATGAGTATAGCAGTCAGAGGCCGCAGTGCATTAGATCTCACACTGAACATCTACAGTTTTGGGGTTGTAGGCACCCTCAAATATCAGGAAGTGCACTGCTATTTAATTTCAGACAAAAGGTACATTTTTAGGGTACTGTTTAGGCACAATTAAATTTCTGAATGCTCCCTATAACATAACAGATCTTTACATTTTGAGTTTAGGTCCACTTTACCCTCAATTTAACCAATATACCTAAACCTGAAGATTAGTAGTAGAGACCTCAACCTGGTAGGAAGGTTTATAGGGTGATAGTGTGTGTGTGTGTGTGTGTGTGTGTGTGTGTGTGTGTGTGTGTGTGTGTGTGTGTATCCCTGTACATTGCGTTCACTAAGAAACACATCTGAAAGTTTTTTTAACATATCTACACTACCCAGTGACACCACCAACTGTGGAAGAAAGTTCCTCATCACTCTAACAGTAAAGAACCCATTACACAGTTTAAGATTGAACTCCTTCAACTTTATTGTGTGTCTTGTTTAGGGACCTTAGGTTAAGTAGTTTCCTCTCAGTGCTAGGGTCTCCATGTAAAGGAGGGAGAAAAAGACTTGTACTAATAGCTGAGGTCCTCCAACTCCTTTATTAGCTTTGTTGCCTTTCTTTGGACTCTCTCCAGTTTAAACACATCCTCCCTGAGGATCGGTGACCAGAACTGGATTTCATACACAGGATGTAGCTGAACCAGAGTTTTCTAAAGTGGTAGAAATATAGTTTTATCTCTTGAGTAGAGACCCTTTTTAATTCATGCTAATAGTCCGCTGGCCTTACGTGCTGCACCTTGGCATTGCATGCTATTGCTGAGTCTGTCATCTACTCGGATCCTCAGATACTTTTCCTTTCTCGATTTCCCCCAGATGTTCTCCCCCTAATGAGTAACTTGCATTCGTATTTTTAGTCCTACGTTCATTACTTTACATTTTTCAATACAAATTTCATCTGTCATTTATCTGCCCACCCCTTTATATTAACTAGGTCTTCTTATAAAGTTGCTATATCCTGTTGGGAAGTTATTGCCCTGTTTAGCTTTGTATCATCTACAAACACTGGGATTGAGCTGTTTATTCCAAATTCTTTATCATTTATGAACAAGTTAGACAGAACCTTGGGGTACTCCACTCACAAATCTATTTCATACAGAAAATATGTTATTAACCACCACCCTCTGGACATACTCCTGCAACCAGTTTTCTATTCAGGTACATATGATCTCACCAATGCCAAAAGATCTTAATTTGTAAATTAAGTGTTTTATAGATTGAAAGCTCCGAGGAGCAGGGCCCTCAACTCCCTCTTGTATTGAACTGTACTGTTACTGTATTGTCTCCCACTACAATGTAAAGCGCTGAGCAAACTGTTGGCGCTATATAAATCCTGTATAATAATAATATAATAATAATATAGGGGTACTGTATCAAATGCCTTGGCAAATCTAGGTACACTACATCCACAGGCCTTCCTCTATCAAAATTATAGCTCACCTCCTCATAGAATATTAAATGAGTGGTCTGGCTTGAAGGGTTGGTAACTGTTAATGATTTTATTCTCATCAGCAGATTCTTGGATCTGGTCCCTTATCATTCCTTCCAGTAGTTTACATAGTATTGATGTTAGGCTGACTGGTCTGCAGTTTCCAAGTATTTTTTTGAATATTGATTGATACCAGGTTTGCTTTTTTTTCAATCTGCTGCTACCATTTCAGTCAGTAAGTTATCCTTAAAAATTGGTAATAATGATCTATAGCATGGCTACGTTCTTTGAGTATTGTAAGCCACCTGGTCCTGGTGATTTATTAACATGAAGCTTTTCTAGTCTTTTTATGAACACTGATATTGGTCAGCCACACAGGTACAGTCAATATAATATATGTACTAGGGACGTCAGTTCAAATCCCAACCACGGCACCACCTGCCTGGAGTTTGCATGTTCTCCCTGTGCCTGCAAGGGGTTCCTCCGGGTACTTCGGTTTCCTCCCACACTCCAAAGACATGCTGGTAGGTTAATTGGCTCCTGTCTAAATTGGCCCTAGTATATGAATGTACGTTAGGGACTTTAGATTGTACGCCCCTTGAGGGATAGGGACTGATTTGAATGTACAATATGTACAGGTGAAACCCGAAAAATTAGAATATCGTGCAAAAGTTCATTTATTTCAGTAATGCAACTTAAAAGGTGAAACTAATATATGAGATAGACTCATTACATGCAAAGCAAGATAGTTCAAGCCGTGATTTGTCATAATTGTGATGATTATGGCTTACAGCTCATGAAAACCCCAAATCCACAATCTCAGAAAATTAGAATATTACATGAAATCAATAAAACAAGGATTGTACATAGAACAATACTGGACCTCTGAAAAGTATAAGCATGCATATGTACTCAGTACTTGGTTTGGGCCCCTTTTGCAACAATTACTGCCTCAATGCGGCGTGGCATGGAAGCTATGAGCCTGTGGCACTGCTGAGGTGTTATGGAAGACCAGGATGCTTCAATAGCGGCCTTCAGCTCTTCTGCATTGTTCAGTCTCATGTCTCTTATCTTTCTCTTGGCAATGCCCCATAGATTCTCTATGGGGTTCAGGTCAGGCGAGTTTGCTGGCCAATCAAGCACAGTATTCCCACGGTCATTGAACTAGGTTTTGGTGCTTTTGGCAGTGTGGGCAGGTGCCAAGTCCTGCTGGAAAATGAAGTCAGCATCCCCATAAAGCTTGTCTGCATTGATCATCGGGTCAGTGTATATAGAGCCGTCAATTTACGCAGCGCTCTACATATATATTGTACATTCATCAGTCCCTAACCCTCAGGGGGCGTACAATCTAAGGTCCCTAACTCACATTCATTCATACATATACTAGGGCCAATTTAGACAGGATCCAATTAACCTACCAGCATGTTTTTGAAGTGTGGGAGGAAACTGGAGTACCCGAAGGAAACCCACGCAGGCACAGGGAGATCATGCAAACTCCAAGCAGGTAGTGCCGTGGTTGGGATTCGAAACAACGACCCTAGTACTGCCAGGCTGAAGTGCTAACCATTTAGCCAATGTGCTACCACAAATTTATATATGTTGGCATGCATTGATCAATGCATTTCAGGGCAATTGGTGTAAATGGAGTCTTGGGGCCCATCCACACCATTGTGATGCATTAGGGCTGCCGAAAAAAGGTACCATTTCTGGCAGCACAATGAATGCTGTGCTTTGACATACCTCTGTTGGCAAGATGTGTTGCGGTGCCATTTAGAATGAATGGTAATGCATGTAATACTTCAACAAAAAAGGGCTCTGAAAGTGTAAGAGACCATTCACAGCAATACGCAGTGGAGGAAATGCACGTTTTTGTGTGCATTTGCCGCACTGCTCATGAACACTTTGCTCTTGCAAGACACCAGCAAGTGCCAATTAATTGTTCATGGCACCCCAAATACATCTCACAAATGCAGTGCATTTGTGGCCACCAAACCGCATGGTACCACACGGGCAGACTACCAACTCATGGGGCCCCCGGGCAATAGGGGATTATGGGGCCCCTGTGCCCTTGCCCACACTCAAAAAAGCCTATACAAAAGGTACCAGGGGCATTTCATGGGGCCCCCTACTGACCCCGGGCCCTCGGGCAGTGCCCGAGTGCTCGAATGGACAGTCCGCCCCTGGTACCACAGTATCATGCAGTTTGGTTTGGTGCGATTTGCAAAAGTTATGGTTGCATTACTTTTGCATTACTTTTTGTGCATTTTTCAACCTATTCACATACATGGGCTGTCACAATCGGAAGGCGTGGGAACACACAGGTACACGCGTGTTCCAGAGTGAACTGGCCCTAACTCCAGACAGTTTTTTATTCTTTTTAGTTGTAGACAAAGCAAAGAAAGCTTAGATCTTCCCCCAGGTTTTTTCTATGGCCCCCATAGAGAAGACCGCTGTCAGGAGCACATGAGACACAGAACACTGAATGTCATAAGTTATTTCTGATCTGAAGGGCTGAACGCTAATTTCCCTTTGCTACGCTCCATGAGGCTTATGATTTACAATACAACTCCTCTTTCAGGAAAAAAAAAGAGCCTACTTCTGTCTTTTCATGTCAGCTGGCTCCTGCTAATCAATGTGTGCTGACATTTCCACCCTCACTTCAAATTGTCAGCGGGCTAGTGTGCGTGCGCGTGTGTCATCCCCTGTACTGCAGTGATTTTAATGGAACAGTCTATTCTACAGCCCAGGGTGGGGAGTCTGTCAGAGATGAATGCAGAGCTACAGGAGCAGGTGCTTCAGTGAGTGTGCAGCACCCTGAGGCCATTTCATACAGGGATTATTTTTTATGATTGTAGAGAAGGGGGCAGCACACAGGCCCTTAGCTCGGTGTCCCCTGTCACCGGTGTGTGGACGAGGCCTGGCAGTTAAACTGTCCAGTTAGTGTATCAGAATGTGCAGAGCAGGAGAGAAGGGAGGATCAGGGGACAGAGAGAAGGACCGGGAGTAGAAGGGAGATCATCTAGTTTGAATGCTGTTTGTGGCAATCAAAAGGTATACATGTGAAACAGGGGAATTCTATCTGAAGCTTGCAAGGAGGTGTAGAAAGGCGCATGAGATTGTGACACTTGGAAGAAGTAGTCATTGAAACTCTCCATGACCAAGCACAACATGAGGGCACGTGGGTGCTGAGCATTGGGACAATTCTAAGAATGGAAGAGGAAGGAAGACGTGACTCAGTCCAGAGTGTGGTCACCCAGAAGGTAAGAAACCCCCTTACCCGGTCCCGTGTCCATCCTCATTTCTCCATGGGACAAAAGTGGCAGCGATACTAATCTATGAACACAGTTCATTTGGTCATTTGCAATATTCTTGCTTTACACATGTGCATTTTTTATTTTAGAAATCGCATCAGGTAATAGTACAATGAACATAAGATATAATAGTGGACTTAAAGAACCACCATACAGGTGGCGGTTGAGATAGTAGTCAATCAACACACATGTATACTGTAGATAGGTGAGTAGAAACAAACTCTCCATTTGTCTCAGGTCATCCTGTATAATGTGAAAGTGAGAACAGGTGACCGTGGTGTCAATCCAAGAGCGTTGAAATAATGCCTGGCATCCCAGTTTTTACCTTTGAGGTCAAATGGGGAACCATGGTAGGGACCACAGTCTAGAAATGGGGGCAGTAGGGATGTATACTAAGTAGATTTATTGGGAAGTAGCCTATGTGGAAGTACGGCCATATGGCAGGATCAATAAACAAGGGAGGGAAGAAAATTGTGAGAGTTAGAATAGGGCTAAGCCAGGCAGGAATTTGTGTTTTGTGTGGGATAGGAAACTAGCATAAAGGAATGCCATTGCTGTTGTCTTTCAGAAAATGTCAGCTGTCTTGCTGTAATGCTGATCAACTGGCTTCAGTTCTCTGGGCCAGTCACTCAGAGGAACAGCTTGTTTTGAGATAGTCAAGGTAAGCCAGATAGCCAGGGAACTAGTCTTTTCAGGAGGTCCGCAATGTATTTCTGTCAGTGCAATGTAACTGTATTAGGATTAACCTTAACTTGGAAGGCACATTTAACACCATAAATGTGGAATAGACTCCCTCAAGAGTTGGTTCTGGCCAGCTCAGTGGATTGCTTTAAAAAAGGCCTGGATTCTTTCTTAGATACACAGAATATAACTGGATACTAACATTTATAGGTAAAGTTGATCCAGGGAATATCCGATTACATCTCAGGGGATCAGGAAGGAATTTTTTTCCCTGCAGGGGCAAATTGGATCATGCTTTGCTGGGTTTTTTTGCCTTCCTCTGGATCTACTGTGCACATAGGATTATAACTTTTTTTTTTTTTTTATGGTTGAACTGGATGGACTTTTGTCTTTTTTCAGCCAGACTAACTATATATGTAACTTCGAAGCTAAAAGAAATGTTGATGCCTGAACCAAGGTAAGGCATTTCATGGGCCTCCCAATCATGTGATCAATGTGATTGGCTGTCAGAATGATCATTTGATTGGCAGCCCGTCACACTGGCTTCCATTGTCCTTTTGTGACCTGGAGCTGTCAGTGGCAGCATAGTCATGGTGATCAAACACAATACAGCAATGCATATATGTGGCAACACAGAATAAGAACCACATCCAAGCTGCCGTGTGTAATGTGTGTGTGTGTGTGTGTGTGATATATATACCGGTATATATAATGTGTGTGTGTATGTGTGTGTATATATATATATATATATATATATATATATATGTGTGTGTGTGTGTATACAGCAGTCCACAAAGGGTTAGGAAACAAAAAGATGAGAACAATTAAAGCTGAGCTCAAGACAAGCAAGGCGTTTTACCCGAAAAAGAATTGCTATTTCTGTCCATCATCCAGTTCTGAGATCTACAAGGTCCATCACACAGTACAGCCCTGTCTGGCAGGGCAGCAGATGACCTGATTTTAATCTACTATAGTTAGGTAACGCTTACAGGCTTTGTCCTGCTGCCAGCCCTTGAATGGGCAGTGAAAGAAGAAGTAGAAGAGTGAGGAGTTCATCTCTCTCACTCTGCTTTCTCTTGCTATCAGCATGTTCCTTGTTAGCATAGGCGCACTTAATCACAGAAAACCGCTTGGCTCTATGCTCTCTTTCCTATTCCAATCTAATTGGCTCCTTGTGCTACTTCTCCCTCCTTCAGTGTGAGCTTTGCTGTACAAGAACTGGTAGAGGTTGATAAGTCAAATTCAGGTACTTACACTGCTTATACAGTTGTGACCAAAATTATTCAACCCCCAATGCTGTAAAGGGGTTTAGGGACTATAGTGTACATTTGGAATTGTATTCAGAATCAAATCCTACAAGGACGTTGTAACTACCCAAATGCAACTAAAATGACATCAATTGTTTATGTAATACAGTAGTAAATGGTTCTTATGTGGTTTCTTCATTGCCACAATTATTCAACCCCTTAAAGACTACCACTCTGAAGAACAGAGGTTCATACAGGTGCTTTCCATCAGGTATTGAAAACACCTGTGGATGTCACCGAGCAGCAATCAAGCATAATAAGCACCAATTAGGCAGCTTTAAAATGACTGTGATACTCAGCTCCTTCTAGACATTTACTGGTGTGGTTACAAACATGGTGAAGGCAAGAGAATGGTCCAGGAAGACAAGAGAAGAGGTGATTTCTCTTCACAGGAAGGGCAATGGCTATAAGAAGATTGCAAAGATGTTAAACATACCAAGAGACACCTTAGGAAGCATCATTCGCAAATTCAAGGCAAAGGGCACTGTTGAAACGCTACCTGGTCGTGGCAGAAAGAAGATGCTGACTTCGACTGCTGTGCGCTACCTGAAGCGTAGAGTGGAGAGAAGTCCCCGTGTGACTGCTGAGGAACTGAGAAAAGATTTGTCAGATGTGGGTACAGAAGTTTCAGCCCAGACAATAAGACGCACACTGCGTAATGAAGGCCTCCGTGCCAGAACTCCCAGGCGTACCCCCTTGCTGTCTCCAAAGAATAAGAAGAGTCGACTGCAGTATGCCAAAAGCCATGTGGACAAACCACAAAAGTTGTGGGATAGTGTTCTGTGGACTGATGAAACAAAATTAGAACTGTTTGGGCCCATGGATCAACGCTATGTTTGGAGGAGGAAGAACAAGGCCTATGATGAAAAGAACACCTTGCCTACTGTGAAGCATGGTGGAGGGTCAATCATGCTTTGGGGCTGTTTTGCTTCTGCAGGTACAGGGAAGCTTCAGCGTGTGCAAGGTACCATGAATTCTCTTCAGTACCAGGAGATATTGGATGGAAACGTGATGCAGTCCGTCACACACCTGAGGCTTGGGAGACGTTGGACCTTTCAACAGGACAATGATCCCAAGCATACCTCCAAGTCCACTAGAGCATGGTTGCAGAGGAAAGGCTGGAACATTTTGGAGTGGCCATCGCAGTCACCAGACTTAAATCCGATTGAGAACCTCTGGTGGGACTTAAAGAAAGCAGTTGCAGTGCGCAAGCCTAAGAATGTGACTGAACTGGAGGCCTTTGCCCATGAAGAATGGGCGAAGATACCCGTAGATCGCTGCAAGACACTTGTGTCAAGCTATGCTTCACGTTTAAAAGCTGTTATAACTGTAAAAGGATGCTGTACTAAGTACTAAGATTGAATGTCACTTGGGGGTTGAATAAAACTGATAATGCTGTGAGCACAGAAAAGACATTTGTGGTTATTTCATTATAACTGTTATGTTATATTTGTCTGACCTACAAGTGCCTCTTTAATGTAAATGTAAGCAAGATGACTGAATGATCAAAAGCAATGTCAAACTGGCCAAAACACTCAATTTCAGTGGGGGTTGAATAATTTTGGTCACAACTGTAGTTAAAGATACACATTTTCATACATACAGAGATACATTAATGTGTGTCCTTTTATATGCCTGGAGTTGAAGCTTGAAGGCCCTTTTATTTGCCTGCACATTGCTTTATTCCTCTTACAGGTGCTCAGTATGTAAATGTAGACTTCAGGCTCCAAAGTTGGAGCTCAAGCACACTGAGGAAGGGGAGTAAAGGTACAAGCACCTCTTGGAGACTTTAATTTACATTGTTTTCCTTTTCTGTTGTTGTGTAAGCCCACTACACAATTACTTGGAGGTCATTTATTGATCAGGTACAGAGGTAAAGCTGGCCATACACAATATGGTGGCCACGCCTTAGTTTTTTTTATCTAATCGATGTGCACAAACAATGGAATAGATATAGTAACTTCTCTTCTGATCAATCTAGACTCAAGTTTGATATAATCCAATCAAACTAAGTCGATAAGCCACAGCGGAATATTATCCATCAATTGCATAGTCAATAGCACTGAATTGCTTTGTTCATAAATGTGATCATTTATTTTAATTTATTTATTACAGATACTTATAGCGCCATCAATTTACGCAGCGCTCTACATATATATTGTACATTCACATCAGTCCCTAACCCTCAAGGGGCATACAATCTACGGTCCCTAACTCACATTCATTCATACATACACATACTAGGGCCAATTTAGACAGGATCCAATTAACCTACCAGCATTTCTTTGGAGTGTGGGAGGAAACCGGAGTAACCGGAGGAAACCCACGCAGGCACAGGGAGAACATGCAAACTCCAGGCAGGAGATGCCGTGGCTGCGATTCCAACCAACGACCCTATTACTGCCAGACGGAAGTGCTAACCATTTAGCCACTGTGCTGCCCATGTTTATGTTTATGAGATTACAGGGTGGAAACAGAAATGCAATCAATAGCCTCTGACTGTAAGTTATGTTTGTATCTTAACTATTGATTGGAATCTACTTTGCCAAGTGTGTAATATCAACTGAATGGATTGTAGATCATAGATCGATTATTCCTGTTGGAGGAAAGGAAGTCGAACATTTATGGAAGCATGTATGGCCACCATTGGAGAACAGCTAAACATGCCTTCATGATTTCATGATGTCTTCTTGGCTCTTTTTTTCCCCCATAAAATAGTCACATGAATGCTTCTATTTAGGGGAATGGAGAAGAAACACTTCAGCAGCTAGGAACACCAATAACAATCTGGCAAGGTTTTAGTATTGGCCTGATTGCTATCCCCCAAAATGCCCTGCCCATAGAAATTGGATTGTTGCCCTAACTGTCCAAAAAAGAGACTGGGGCTGATTTACTAAAACTGGAGAGTGCAAAAACTGGTGTAGCTGTGCATTATAGCCAATCAGCTTCTAACTTCAGCTTCAGTTAAGCTATGACAATAAAACTTGGAAGCTGATTGGTTCCTGTGCAAAGGTGCACCAGATTTTGCACTCTTCAGTTTTAGTAAATCAACCCCACTATCTTCTAATGTCTATGAGCCAAGTGCAGCATCTTCTCGGGGCTTTGCTAACAGAGCAGCATGCAAAGGGCAGCATAGTAATGATTCAGCTAGTCTTTCTATAGTCATGTGATTTAATGGTGTGTTGGGTTCAAGTAATGGAAACTACAACCAGTACTGAGAGAAATGTATGCCGCTGACCTCCCTTTGGAAAAATTACGGTTGTCTGGCTCAGTGAGTCATTGAATTCACATCTTGGATACTTGTTCTGGGTAAATAACCTCAAAATGTTCTAATTCCAGAGAAATCCAGGCATTTAGAATTTTTAGAAGGCTAGCTATATCAGCTTTCATAGTTCTCTCAGTAAAGATTTCCTTTGAAGTGGCTGTAAAAGTTATTTTGTTTTTGTTTTTTTTTCTTAAAACAATAAACATATTATACTTGTAAGCTCTGTGTAATGGTATTGCACAGGGCAGTCTGGTCCCTTACCTTCTGTTCTGAAGTCCCCCGCTGGCACTGTCCCCTCCTCGTATTCTCCAAGTGCCCGCATAGCAACTGGCTGCTATGGGGACACTTGTGCGGGCAAGCTACCGAGCCAGGCTGTGTGCATCCATAGACAAACATAGCGTGGCTCAGCCACACTCACTCCTCACAGGATTTGACTGAAAGCAGCAGGAATCAATGGCTCACACACAGGTGAGGAGGAGCAGAGAGTGCCGGCTGGGGACCACAGAAGAAGAGGTGGAGGACCTCTCTGTGCAATACCATTGCACAGAGCAGGTACGTATACCCTCTTTTCTTTAAAAAAAAAAAAAACCTTTACAACCACTTTAATGCAGAGAATGCATTAAGGTAGAAAAATGTTTGCCTTTAAAACCACTGTAATTACAAAAGATAAAGATCTATGGTTTTGGAGACCTGTAGCAACCAATCCAAAACCAGCTTTCATTTCTCTGCCAACTCTAATCGTCTGAATATGTACTGATTGCTCCGGGTACCTATCAAATATTACTTATTAAAGTATCTGTAAACTTTTTTTTTTTTTTATTTAGTTGTGGGTAAAGTACAGCAGGATGGGACTAAAGGCAACAGGAAATCCTAAATTTTGAGTTTTCACTAGAACAGAATTGGAGGGGTAATTTTCTGATAGGGACACTTGTTCTGCTGACAGCTATCTAAGAGAGGGTTCCTTTTACTGTAGAGATTTCCTGTCACTTTCTGTTTGAGTTTTGGACAAAATAGAAGGGCAAATCTTCCAGGTGGGAAAAAGCAAGAATAAAAAAAAAGATCTGACAGGGGCCTTAATGATTTCCTGATCTCAGCTTAAACAGGGTATAGATAGATCGAATCTCAGCCGGTTCAGCAGGGACCAGCCGAGGTTTGATCTACAGTAGTTATCAATCAGGCTGGTTATACAGAAGTCAATCCATTGATTTCAGCAGGACCAGTCTGTCAGATTTTTTTCAATTCAATCACTGACAGCGGCTTTAGCATTGTGTTTTGTTGACAGGGAAGGCTCCCCACCAGCAGAATACAATAGCACCGCGGGAGGGATTTCCCTATCAACACTAACTGTGTTGATGGGGGGAATCAAGCCGTTTTCTTTCCTGCAAACCATGTTTACAGGCTTGACGAAAGATGTCTCTAGCTCAACCGGGTGGGTGCTGGCTTTCTCTACTGGCTACTTTCTACAGAACTGTAAGGGCCAGTTCACACTACGTGCGTTTCAGTTGCTTTTTTCTGTATCCAAAACACACAGAAAATAGGTTATATGGTTGTCAATGTCATAGTTCACATCAGTGCTTGCAGTTCCAGTGCATTCTGGATGGAGAAAAAAAGTAGAACAGGCTGCATTTCTCCTGCACATAACGCATGAAAAAAGCACTGGAATGCGTCAAAAACACACAAAAACGCGCCGTAATGCACCAAAAACGTGTAAAAAATGCCCATGTGGAAACGCATCTGGACTGTGTTTCTATGGTGTGAACCGGTCCTAAGACTTTGAACATGTTTTGTTTCTGTGCACCTGGAAAGTATTTAGCTGTTTTTAAACTGAAAGTTCAATTGGACTTTAAATAAGTCCATCTATCTCTCTCTTGACTTTCTATTTCTCTCCCCCATTGCCTCTTATTTTCCTCTTGACCCTCTTCTCTCTGTTTTCTCTATCCTATCTCTCCACTCCTTTTTTTTTTTCTCTCTCCTCTTACCTCTCTCCTCTTTGTCCTCTTACCTCCTCTGTCTTTTCTGTCTCTCTTTTCTTGCTTTCTCCCTTCTCTCTCTCTTGTCTGCCCCTCCCCCCATTCTCCCCTATTCTCTCTCCCCACTCTGCCTTTTCATGCTGTCCCTTCTCTCTCTTCTCTCTCTCTTCTGATGCTCTGTCCCTCTCTCTCTCTCTCCCCCTTTTCAGTCCTCTTCTCTCCCCCTCTCCATGTTTTCTCTTCTCATGCGTGTTCTATTCTTTCTCCTTATCACCCCTCTTCTTTCTCTCTTTCTCGACTCTTTCTCTCTTGCTCTCCCCCTTCTCTCTGTCTCCCTTTCACTCCTCTTTTCAATCTCTTTTCCATCCACTGTATCTTCTCATTATATCTCCCTTCTCTCTGTCATCTATCTCTGCTCTCTCCTTTTCTCACTTTCTCTTCTCATGCTCTTTCTCTCTCTCCCTTCTCTATCCCCCTCTCCCATCTTCTCACTCTCTCTCCTCTCTCTCTCTCTCTCTCTGCTCTCTTTTCCTATGCGCTCTCACCTCTCTCTCAACTCTATCTTCTCTATCTTATGTCTCTGTCTCTCCTCTCTCTGCTCTGTCTTCTAATGCTCACTCTCTCTTCTCTCTCTCTCTTTCCCCCTTCCCCCCCCACCCCCCTTTTCTCTCTCTGCTCTCTTTTCCTATGCTCTCTCTCCTCTTTCTCCACTCTCTCCTTTCTCTCCCTCTCACTCCTCTTCTTTCTCTTTGTTCTATCTTCCTATGATCTCTCTCCACTCTATTCTCTCTCCTATTCTTTCTCTCTGTTTCCTTTTCTTATTTTTCTCTCATCTTCCTCCGCTCTCGCTTTTTTCTCTCCCTCCCTCTCCTCTTTTCGCTCTCTCTCTCAGCTCTCTTTTCCTATGCTGTCTCTCGTCTCTTCTCTCTCTCTTCTCTCTCTCTCTCTCTCTCTCTCTCTGCTCACTTTCTCTCTTCTGTTCTCTCTCCCTTCCTCTCCTCTTCTCTCTTTGCTCTCTTCTCTCTCCATCCCTACCTCTCCTCTTTCTCTGTTCTCTTTTCCTATGCTGTCTCTCCTCTCTTTACTCTTTTCTGTCTCTCTCTGCTCTATCTTCTTAGGCTCTCTCTCTTTCTCTCTCTCTCTTTCCTATGCTGTCTCTCCGCTCTCTATACTTTCTTCTCTCTCCCTCCCCTCTTCTTTCTCTCTCTCTGTTCTCTTTTTCTATGCTCTCTCTCCACTCTGTTCTCTTTTCTTCTGCTCTTTCTCCCTTCTCTCTTCTCTCTCCGCTCTCTCTCTCTCTCTCTCTCTCTCTCTCTCTCTCTCTCCTCTTTTCTCTCTCTCTCTCTGTCTCTCTCGCTCTCTGTCCCTTCACCCTCTTCTCTTCTCTCTTGCTTCTTTTTCCTTGTTCTCTACACTTTATTATCAGTTGTGTAGTTGCTGTGTTGACCAGCCTGGTTCTTTGTCCTCAATGTTGTCGCTGTTCTGATGCTTTGCTGTGCTCTGGGTACATCAGATGTGATTGTTGTGTGTAAAGGGCTGATGACCCACCACTCACATGCTCAGCATCACACCCACTTACAAATGTTCTGACCGTGCAGGACTGTGCCCGGACCCATTGTATCTGCCTCCCTGGTTCATTCATTGTCTTCCTTTTATGGAGAACTCTGCGGTAGTAGCAATATTCAGCTCCGCTCCTAATCATTATCCATCTGTCTCCTGTGTGCCTCTGATATCATCTGTCCCTTTTTTATTTTTTTAATCTAGCTTTCCTGCTAGAACAACACAGACAGTTTTAATCATGTTCATTCTGAATTGCTGTGCGTTAATCTACATTTTTAATCTGTAATTCACTACCTTCCCCTTGTCTGTAGCAGGCCCTTTCCCTGAAGATTTTGAATAAGGAGATTTTATATAAACCCTTTGTATAATTTCCTGTTCAGCACTGGATTGTAAGTGCTAATGGGCAAGGCCTTTGTACGTTTATGTCCAGTGATATCTGTATGTTTTCCAGTGTCTATTGTATTTCATGCTGTAAAGATCTGCAGAGCAAATGAGAGCTATAAATAATAATAATAAACTGTGTCTTTTAGGGGGAATCCCGCGGCAGTTCCAGGAGGCGGCGGCTCTTTTGGAAACTTAGGCAGCGGTGGAAACTCCTCGGACTTTTTGAAATTGACAAAGAGCATGAGTTCTATGCTTTGACCTGTGACCTTAAAGAAGGGCTCAGAGATGCCATTCAGGATGTCACCCAGAGTGATATACAGGTAAGACGAGTGTGTTTGTCACTGTGGAGTCCACTTATAAAGATAGGCCAATCCTAACCTGTCCACCTTGTTTGTTCACTCCCATTAACCAGTAATGCTTGGCTGTGAAATGCAAGTGAAGGAATCCAGCACATTCTTAGCAAATCCTTATCAAACATACTTTCGCCTGGATCATTCTAGTAATTTTCAGTGACAAATGTTTATTGGAAAAAGTAAATAAGGTTTAACCACTTCAATTCTGGACACTTTCACCCCCTTCCTGTCCAGGCCAATTTTCAGCTTTCAATGCTAACACACTTTGAATGACAATTGCGCGGTCATGCAACACTGCACCCATATGAATTTTTTTTGAGACAGATAATTTTGGTGGTATTTATTCACCACTGGGATTTTTATTTTTTTGCTATATAAATGAAAAAGTCCAAACATTTTGAAAACAGTGTTTTTTTTTCTTATAAAATTTTGCAAATAATCTTTCTTCATAAATCTTGGCCAAGATGTATTCAGCTATCTTTTTAGTAAAAAAAAAAAAAAAATAACCCAAATTAGTTTATAACCAAAATTTTTCACATTTTCTTTTTTACATTTTTATTTTATTTTTTATATTATTATTTGTTTTTTTTTTAACATACTATCACCATAGCTGTAAAAGCAATCATTTCTCCTTCTCTCTGTCTGCATTCTTGCAGCCATTGAGAAATACTGTGAGAGCTGTGATTGGTCACAGCTTGTCCCATGGTACAATGCTGTTGTGAATAGCCTTGTACCATGTGACCTCTGTGATCATTCACAGATTTCACTAGTAGTAAGCAATGATATCAGAAGTGACATCTTGCTTACTACTATTCATGTGATCACTGATTGGCCAATCAGTGATCGCATGATCGGGACCTCACACAGAGTTCAAGTACAGCGATCAGTGTTCCCAGGGAGCGCACACAGGCAGGGAAGCGGGAGAACGTTTATAAACGACCACCCGTTCCTGCACTGCTCCCGTCCGGCCGTTTATGTACATGGGCCGGACGGGAAGTGGTTAAAGTCATTATAAACCCTCACATATACCCAGTGAAGTGACTAGCCTCAGGTGATATAGAGATGAAATAAATCTTCCTACATGTGCGTTGTACTTGTTTATCTGAAGTCTTCTCTTCATCCAGAATTTATACAGCTTGTCTGAGCTGTCAGAAAGCAGGGGAAGGGGAGCTAAAAATACAGAGCTCAGTGAGAGCTGACTGGAGGGAAGGGACACACAGCCCCCTTCACAGAGCACAGATTGTGTGCTGGTGTTCCCTCCCCTGTCACCTTTTTATCTCTTGGTGTCAGGAAAACTAGTCAGAAGTAACCATGCAGATAGCAGAGGAACATGGCGGTAGACAGAAATGACACTTAGTGCTCTGGATTGAGACAAGTGCACATTAGATAAGAATATGCTTTGTTCATATTTCATGTCTGAGGTTTACAACCACTTTAAATCGATCATTTGAGATTTGGTCTTCTTAAAACGGAACGAAAAAAAACAACAGCATACTAACAGATAAGCTCTTTATTGCAGAAGAAACATGCAATGTCTCCTGCAATCAGATAAACTCACCTGCCTGTTTGCAATTGCAATCCTCTGCAGAATGTACACAGGGCTGCGCATGCGAAAGAAGCCAGGGAGCAGATGCTAACGCCAGCGAGGGACCTTGTGGGCGTTGGATCGCTGAAGCATAGATTCCTGCCTTTTGTTCCACTTTTACAACTAGCACAATTTTCCAACCTAATTGCTTTCATCTTTGATTTGATCCCGAAAGATCAGTGGAAATCAATTGAAATAGTAGTCATTAAAAATTAATAATTACTATATTCAATCCGAATTTTGAAAAGATTATTTATTGAAGGATCAAATTGATCCCTGTGCTGTTGGCATTAGACATTAAGGGGGAGATTTACTAAAATTGTAGCACCCAGAATCTGGTGCAGCTGTGCATGGTAGCCAATTAGCTTCTAACTTAAGCTTGTTCAATTAAGCTTTGACAATCTAAAAGCTGATTGGTTTCTATGCAGAGCTGCACCAGATTATGCACTCTCCAGTTTTAGTAAATCTTCCTCACAAGATAGGGAAAGCTTAGCGTTCGTGTCAGGGGTTAAATCCCAACTCCAGGTGAAAAAATTGTAAAAATTCACTGTCCCCCACAATACTCTTTTTCATCAGTCTTCTGAATTGAATGATGCCCAGAGTTAGGTAACCCAGAAGACTGAGGACAGACTGTGAGTGTAGGACATTATAGGGAGACGGCAATCACTCAGTAATGGTGCAAAGAGTTCCGGGGAATGAGGAGCACCAAGGGGCAGGAGAGGTAAGTCTATTGTTAAACTTTAAGGGGTTAAGGGGTTAAGGTGCATGTGCAGTCAAAAAAATGTTTCTAGTTTAAAATCGAGAGAGGAAGGGTTAGAACCTCTGTTAGGTGGTGGTTGTAACTGGTTGTAACTGGGCAGAAAGTAATCTGAAATCTGACATTTTAGAGTTGTCATCAGGACCAGACATAAGAATGAGTGGAGAGGATTTACTAAAACTGGAGCACCGAGATTCTGGTGCAGTTGTGCATGGTAGCCAATCAGTTTCTAACTTCAGCTTGTTCAGTTAAGCTTTGACAATAAAACCTGGAAGCTGATTGGTTTCTATACAGAGCTGCACCAGATTTAGCACGCTCCAGTTTTAGTAAATCTCCCCCAATACTCCAGTATTTACACCTGTTCACTGACTAAATGGGCCTTCAATTTGAAGAGATATATTCTCACTTCCTGTTGTGTCTACAGGAAATGAAGGGAAATCTCCCCTATAGGACACAGCATGAAAGAGAAGCCAATGGGGGTTTTAAGCCTTTCCTTTCTCTTTCCAAATATGTTTTAAAAATTACATAATAAATTAGGCTTACATAATAAATTAGGGTAAGGGTTTATTTTAAGGGTTTGTGGTAAGTGTGAGGGTTAGATTAAGTGTTAATATTGAAATGTGTGTGAATCCCTAACAAAGAACTCCCTCTATTTGGTCCTGTTATGTAATCAGTTTTACTCAAGCATATCATTTTATTAAGTAAATAAAAACCTGTTGGCCCTGCCAGAAATACAGTGAGCTGATATCTTCCTGTGCTCTCTGCCCTGTCTTGTTTTTTTACATCTGGTGCTATTACTAGTAATCGTTGCCTCAACCTGTACATATACATATTCCCACGCAGATTGATTGGATTAGTACTTTGCTGTGCACTGGATGGTACATTCCATCAATACAAATGACACAGAATGTAGCTGTTGTAAGTTTGCAGGAACACAATTTGCACAAAGGAGTAAAAGTCTTATTTGAATTTGGTCTTTATTATTATAGCCCCAAGTTACAGATGAAGATTACAGTGCTAAACTAACACAGGGACATGAGGTAAGATTTGTTATAACCACTATCTGGTGCTATCGTAACTGAGCAATTTATTCATTTGTATAAAGAGCAGTAATATACTCTGATCACAGTTAGTTATTACAGTTTTTATTAAGAAAGGTCAGCCAATTCAGATATGTAAGTTTTGGGTAGATAATGGAGAGCTGGGCTTTAAAGTAAACCTGATCTGGCCTAAACATTTTTTGTGTTCAATAAATATTTATTGAGATCAGGGTCATAAAACATTGGAACATTCATATCTGAAGTTTTAAGCAATATTATATAATATCAACATTTTCAACATGGAGGAACCCTTGAAATAACTTTAAGGTCTCAGGCCACCCCTATCAATAATTTTTTCAGTTTATCTACAGTTCACGGTACATTAGTGCAGTGATCAATGTGAAGATTGCTTCTTCCATTGTTGGCCAGTGGGAATTATGCTCTTCATACAGAAAGAAAATTTGAGTCCTTGGTAGCTTATCTGAGAGCCAGAAATGTCTCATTGCTCAAGGAATCCCTAGAGACCTCTAAAGAAACTCTAGGGTTCCTTGGAACCCTGGTTGAGAAATGCAGCAATAGACAATATGTGACCAGAGCCCTGATTTGCCTCCAACAATGGTCATGCTAGCTGAGGGCACCTCCCACCATATTCCTGCAACAGTAACGTAATGGGCTACAAACACCTGAAATATGGAGGAATTCCGCCATTTTGGTTACTCACACACTCCAGACCTAAGGCCCTCTTCTGAGTACACTTTATAGACTTCTTTAAAATAAACAATTGTCCACACCAGTAGCTTTTTCTGATGCTTTACCAAAATGTTGAAATAGAGTCAACAACACCGAACATTGTTAACTTCCTCTCCAATTCTCTTTCCGCAACCTATATCAATTCTTACTGTTAACTAGTAGGTACTGCTCAGCCTTTCCAGGTAAAGTTCTCAATAGACGTTCTAGTAAAAGTTCTCAGCTGGGTCCTCTGCTCTAATAATATTTTGGGGCCAACCATATAGGTGTGTTCTCTACATTCCTTAACCCTCACCAGAAGGAGGTTGGTCATAGTATATATACAGTACTGTGGTGCAATCCCCCTTTACATTCCTGGGGCTTGTCTACAATTGCAGGAGATTAACCCCCTGCCTACAAGTATGCATGCTGGGTAACATTTGAAATAGATACAGTACATGTGATGGGGTAAGTATGACATTCATGAAATCTTAAGGCGTAGTTGTTCCACCATGATATGCTGTAAAAAAAAAGAGATCGGAGACCCAATGGAAGATAAAAAAATCCCCAATGTTCTTTTTTGTGCAAAATGACTAAAAGCTAGAAATGTTTATTGTATGTCTAGCTTTTAGTTTAATTGTTCAATAAAGAACATTGTTTGCTTTTTTTCATATTCCATTGAATCCCAGATACCTTTATACTGTTCAATTTAGTGGGATCCATGGTAATTTACGCATTACTGTTGTGTATATAGGTTATCTTTTACTCATTATGAGTTAGTTCTAAGTGGAAAGGCCAGATTAGTGGCCTAAAACATTTTGAAGTTAACAATAGAGCTAAAGTGCAGGAACCTTGTATAGCCTGGAGATAATCATTTTAATCTTTTAGTCATACCCTGTGTTCCTGTGGAGCCTGTTTGAATCATGAGCCGTACTCGAGCTAGCCCACTTTTGACAATAAGCCCAACTCTCTCATTCTACTGTCAAATTCCAGAGCCCGTTGACATTCTGGCATTCGAAGGTTGAAGTGGCTCTATGTTGATTTGGATAGAAGGTGATGCTTCATGTTGAGCTGAGCCTAGGAACTAAGGAATGACACAGGTATCCAACTGAAGGCTAACATAGGTAAATGTAGGTCCTGCATTTCAGCACTACCACCATCTCAAAGTAATTTTAGGCCAGGTCAGATTCACTTTAAAGCCCAACTCCAGTCATAAAAGCTCCTACAGACTGTAACCTTTTCATACTCTGCCCAAGTCTAATAAAAACCTTTGAATAGAGTTGGTGTATAAACTATTTAATATTTGTCTCAAATCTCCAATCCTGCAACAACAGGGTTACATGATGAGAACGTACGCAGGTTCGGTGTTCCAGCATTTCCGCCAGTCTCTCGGGATGTCTGAGGAAGGTTACCAGCGCTCTCTGTCAGCCTGCGGCCTCTACCTGCAGTTCATTAGTAACTCCAAGAGTAAAGCAGACTTCTTTCTGACGTGAGTTTAAAGGATTTCTTAATAGAACCTTTCACTGCTAACATGGCTGTCCTTTAACTGTATAAAAGAATAGATTAGGAATATGCATTTTTTTCAAGCTGAACTGTAGTCAATCTTTATTTGTTATAAAGTGAAAAAAAGTTAACATTTTTTGTCGGCTGTTTATTTTTATCAGTGACCCCATTTAAGAGATTTTTTTCTTACTTCCTGTCCTTGTGACTCCAGGATAAGGTATGGGTAGAACAGATGTGTCTAGATGTGAAAAGGTGGAATAGACTCCCTTGAGAGTTGGTTCTGGCCAGCTCAGTGGATTGCTTTAAAAAAGGCCTGGATTCTTTCTTAGATACACAGAATATACAGTCAGGTCCATAAATATTTGGACATCGACACAATTCTAACATTTTTGGCTCTATACACCACCACAATGGATTTGAAATGAAACAAACAAGATGTGCTTTAACTGCAGACTGTCAGCTTTAATTTGAGGGTATTTACATCCAAATCAGGTGAACGGTGTAGGAATTACAACAGTTTGCATATGTGCCTCCCACTTCTTAAGGGACCAAAAGTAATGGGACAGAATACTAATCATAAATCAAACTTTCACTTTTTAATACTTGGTTGCAAATCCTTTGCAGTCAATTACAGCCTGAAGTCTGGAACGCATAGACATCACCAGACGCTGGGTTTCATCCCTGGTGATGCTCTGCCAGGCCTCTACTGCAACTGTCCTCAGTTCCTGCTTGTTCTTGGAGCATTTTCCCTTCAGTTTTGTCTTCAGCAAGTGAAATGCATGCTCAATCGGATTTAAGTCAGGTGATTGACTTGACCATTGCATAACATTCCACTTCTTTCCCTTAAACTCTTTATTAAAAATTTTTTTAATAAACAATGAAGGTTGATAGAAAAAGTGTTGAAGCCTCTTAAAGTCTTTTTAGATTTTTTGATTTAGCTTTGAATAGAGCAGAAAAAGGTTAAAACTTCTGTTGGGTTATTTTTTTTCTGTCTGTGCACCCTGAGCAAATTGTTCTCCACTTCCTGTCCTAGAGACCCAGGAAATGAGAGGCAATGCTCTAATTGAGAGAAACTTCCATCTTAGCTGTCACTGAAACATTTGCCTACACTGGATGATTTCCCCAAACCTCCGGCTATAGTGAGAGCTCTAAAATTTTGGATTTCCTCGGGCACAATGGTCTGCAGGACAAACAGAGAGGATGAATTCCTCCAGCGAGGATACAACCGTAAATAACACCTCACTGAGGTTCTAACCCTTCCACACTATATCCAAAACAACAACAAAAACATCCTTTACGTACGCTTTAACTCCTTTTGTGCTTGTGCTTTGTTTTTAGAAATGACAAGCGATTCTTCCTTAAGACACAGAGTAAGCGAGAGGTTCACTTTCTGCTACATATCCTGCCAAAGTACATTCAGCACTTCCAGGCCTATCCACACTCCCTGCTGGTGAAGATCCTGGGTAAGCACACTGTATACAGTCACCTGAGTAATGCAACATTTCTGCTGTTGTGGCTGTGTTTTTTTTGATGCGTACACAAAAATGTGCACCCCCCACATTAAGGCTGTATAGGGGTTACTTGTCAATGTGTTTTGGCTGATGCTTGTAAATGTGTGTAATTCATTTAGGCATGTCAAGCACTTGGGCGTTCATTTAATTGGCTAGGATAATAATCTATTCTGGCCATTGAAATGAATTAATGCTCAAGCCCTAAACATGCCTAGCATTAATGAGCATTTAAATGCATTTAGGAGCATCAAGTGGTTTTTCTGACAAAATGCTGTTGCTCCTGGACGCACCGGCAGTGGGTTTTTCCTGTCTGTAAACTTTTCTAAATGCCTGTGTGTACATGAACACATAGGATAATATTGAGGGGCGTTTAGAGGTAGAAAAAACCTCACAGGTGTTCTAATCCCTCTCTACATTATCTAAAACTTAAAAAGAATTTGCCTTTAGTTATACTTTTATATTATACATGTACTGTATATGTGTCAATATTATATCCTATCAAATTATACTCGCTTATGACTAGTGGTGTATTTAGGTGTCCTGCTGTCCTAGGCAACACACAAAAATTGCCTCCCCCCCATGGAGAGACCCTGACAGTGAGCAGCACCCCCTCCCCCACAAAGAGAGCCTAACATTAACCAAAAACACCTTAGACCCCCACCCAAGAGAGCCTTCCACTACACCACCCTCCATACACTGGCAACACTCACCGCCGACCCTGCGAGGGAGAAGACACTCACGTTCACAGCTCTGGACATCCCCAGGAACAGGAGTCGGGCTCTGTATACGCCATCAAGCAGCCCCTCTCAGATCCCACCTGGTGTATATGCTGCGTGTCCCTTCTTCCATCCCTTCCTTTGGGGGGGGGGGGGGCGGTGCTGCCCCCCTGAAAAATGCTGCCGTAGGCAAATGCCTTGTTTGCCTTGTAGTAAATACACCCCTGCTTATGATGGCTTTTTGGTCAGAATGCAAACTTTTTGGTCCATATACATTAATGTGGTAGCCTGCTATCTTGACTACATGTCTTTGTACCTAGCATGCATCCCCCAGGGAGATATATGGCATTCAGAAGTTAATGGCATGCTGTAATGGGGTTTATAAATGACTACGCCTCTATATAATGTATTCACAAATAATCCATGCATATACATTTTAAAAGAGAAGTATGGGGTTTTAAAAAAAAATCAAAATCAGTTATCTAGGGGGAGCTCTAGCTCAATTGTTAGTCAGCAGGGCTGAGTAGCAGCCTGGGTGCAATAGCTAGCAGGGTCAAACTGTGCTCAGATTTAAGAGGATCTGCAGACTAGCCCTCTGGAATTTCCCCCTGTTCTAGAACTTTGGAGTTTAGAAGCAATGGGTGGATCTGAGGAGTGGCTGGTCTGTACTCTTAGATGATCCTGGCCAATCCCCAACAGGAGGCTTGGCAAGCGGCCAGGACAACCTCCTGAACGCAACAGATTTGATGTGATTTCAGAAAGCGCACCAAATCCGCAGGATATAATAGGAGTCTAAGGCAAAGAAAAGCTAACCCGCAGGAATGCCTCAGGTGCATCATTGTGAAAGAAGCCTTCTAGAGGGCTCACAACAGTGAGGGCTCATTTACATTTGCGGTTTTGGGGGGCAGTAAAACCCCATAGTTGAGCTGTGTTTTTGTGTGTTTACCACCACACCCTTTTTTTTTCTCTTTAAGTGACCAGAGGTGTACACAAGTTGCAGCCGCAGCATAAGTGATACACCCTGTAAAACTTGTAGGACCCTGTGCCCGGTGATCTTTGATTTATCCCATGTTGTTCAGGTAGATCTCCACCTCTCTAAGATTGCCTTCCCCTGGCTTAATGGGTAAGTCTACTTCATGGGGAGAAAAAAAAAAGCCATATAGTGTATACAATTGCGACTCAAGTTGTAGTTTAAAGTTATTAAAAATTACCTTTCCTTTTCAATTTGCAGCATTGTCATTTTCTGTAAAATGCAATTCAATATGGCATCCTGGGGGGCATTCTGTACAGAGTATGTAGAGAACACCCCTCAGAAATGTAATTTCCTGCTTTTGTGATTGGCTTATTGATTTTCCCAGAGGTCTGCACTAAAATACAGTTCATATGTTGGGCATTCCCTGCAACAGCGATTTTTCATGAGATACTTACAAATAAAAATCATGTCTAAACGGAGGCCACTTTCCTCATTAGAGCCCTGCAAGTGCAGCAGCTGATTGCTAATTAAAAATTCACTCCTAATCACATTCATTTTGCACATGGATACAGACAAACAGCTATTTCTCTCAGAAAACAAAAGGTAGGAATCTGCAGCAAAGTTTGATAAAATCCTTGCAATGTACATGGATCACCCAGTGGGGAATGTTTTTTTCACAACAGAAGTGGAGTTACTCTTTAACCCCTTCACGCCTAAGGGTAAAACAAATCTAAATGCCTAAGCACAATTCTGCAATGTTGACATGTGTTAGTAAAACCGTACATATCATCACAACTACTTTGTACATCCAGGTGGATTATACCTTGTTTTTTCAGGACAAATTGGGCTTTCATTTGGTGGTAAATGGTAATGGATATCTCCTGATTTTTTTTTTTTTTTTTATTATCAAAGGAAAACTGGCCCAAAATAGTAAAACAAAATCATTTTTTTTTATTTAGCTGTGTGTTTCTTGTTACGACCATAACCTAACTCCATAGAACACAACGCAAAATATATTCTCCAGCTCTTGACGATCGCAGCGATACAATATATGTGTATGTTATTTGTTGTTTGTACCCGTAGTACAGCCCAGAAACAATAGTGCACACTGACATTAACGCTGATACTGGTACCAAATTTTTTTAAAATCCTGACCTTTGACCCTGACGTTGACCCAAACGCTAACCCTGGCACTGAACTAGATCAAACCTTGATCTAGGTATTTTTCTTTATTTTTTCTTTTATTTTTTAATATTTATTTATCTTTTTTTTTTTTTTTTTTTTGTCTTTACAAACATTTTTTTTTATCTCTCTATGTCAGGAATTAGAGAGATACAATGTATCTCTCTTCTCCATTCATAGAGCGAGAAAAAACAAGGGGGCCGGGCTGCACAGTGACTGATCACTGTGATAGCCAATCAGAGGCTATCACAGCGATCACATGACCCGGGGCTCTCAGTGACAACGCGGTCTCTGTGCTGGGAGCGCACCGAGCAGTGCACTTCCAGCGCAAAGACAGGTAAGCAAATATGCGGCCCCACGGAAAAAAGCCCAGTTCCGTGAGGCCGCATATTTGTGTACCGTCGGCGTCAAGGGGTTAAAGGACCCAGTCCAGTCACCAGTTTTCATCTTTAGGCCCATTTTGGCCCTTTTTATTTACACAAAGGATTCACATGCAGGGGCTCATCAGCATCACACTGACACAGAACAACATAATACTTTAGCCTCCTGGCTGTTGAGTTGCCCACCTTGTCTGTACAGGCCCTCTGTCTGTTGGACTCTCAATCTCTCTGTACTAGAATGTGTCCCATCAGAATGTAGATCATCAGATGATGGTCTACAGCCTGGTCTCAGGGCCTGTCCATGAGGCCTGCACACCTACAGAACAACTCTCCTAGGAATGGAGAACACCGCATGGGTAGTCTCTTATTCCCTTTTGTGGGTTAACACCCATCTGGTATTGGGGTTGATTTACTGAAACTGGAATGTGCAAACTTTAGTGCAGATGTACATGGTAGCCAATCAGCTTCTAATTTCAGCTTAAGTTCTGACAATAAAACCTGGAAGCTGATTGGTTTCTATGCAGAATTGCACCAGATTTTGCACTCTCCAGGTTTAGTAAATCAACCCTAAATGAGTCTCACACTAGCTTAGGCACCCTTTCACTGCTGAACCGGTCATTACCTACCTCTTAAAGTGTATGTAAACAACTTGTAAAACAACCCATTTAGTTTCAAACAGAAATGCAAGGCAAAACATTTGTGTATAGATACAGTATATAAAAAAAAAATTATATAAGATGTATATTTTTTTAATAAGAGATCACATATCCTTTGTTCTAAGCTGCATAATGGGCTCAGGGCCGGTTCACACTATAGAAGCACAGTCCAGATGCGCACTGGTGCGTTTTTGCATGCACATTTTTGGCGCATTTTTTTATGCATTCCACTTAATTTTTTCCCCTCTCTTTTTCTTCAATTTAAATAGGGACATGTGCGTTCCAGTTAATGTTTGGTCCGATTTGGTGCGTTCCAGTGCGTTTTTTATGCATTTTACCGTGTTCCAGTACAGTTCTGAGCACAAAAAATGCAGCATGTACTACATTTTTTTTCTGCAACCGGAACACACTGGAACTGGAAGCACTGATGTGAACTATAACATTAACAACCACATGGCCTACTTTCTGTGCATTTTGGATGCAGAAAAATGCAGTATTGCCTGCTGAAGATAACAGCGGGGAACATTTTCATGGCGTTCTGTTTTAGGTTGTTATAGTAGTGCAGCTTTAGGCTTCAGGCATAGTTTGGTGTAACTTTGAAGCCATCATGGGGGGGTTTAGCTGTCTGAGCTTGGGGCTACCAGCTGGCACTCTGTATCGGCTGCTGAAGGAGGATAAAACTGTCCATTAACAAAGGCTTTAGGTTTCTTTCAGGATATCCTCATGGCACCATTGTGGTCATGACTGTGTCTTTTAGCAGCCCTGAGCACAGGCAGAAGACAGGACAAGCTTACAGCATAACACTTATGTTGTGATAGGGGAGAGAATACAAATAAACAAAGTCAAGTAATCTGCCCTATTATATCAATTCAAGAGGAAAGATTTTGAGAACTATGAATGCCCTATTGTGATTGGTTCTCTTTAAGCCCATCATTTTTACCTATCCCTTATGCATATATCCTTTAAGACATTATCAGGTTGCAAAGTGCTACCACTCAATGCATATTCTTACCTATTTCATTAAGTAACCACTGTTTTCACAGTAAGGGATAATATATTGTTTCCTACACTACAGTAATACTGTTAAAGAGTTGAATCAGTCATACAGTATTGTAGGTGATGTTTATTGAATAAGGAATACATTATATATGTAACCTTGTTTAAAAAGACATGAAAAAAAATGTTTCTGATACATTTTCTTGGCTTTCAGGAGTTCACAGTATCACAAGGGAACAAGAGAAGAAGGTGAGCATGTCTGCACTACATATGCTGTCCATATCCTATTCTTAAATTTATGTAAACCCCAACAATTAATTTCTCTTATTGGCTCCATTTTGGTCTGGAAAATATACCAATAGAGGCTTATTGTTATATCTGTTTATGTGCTAAAAACTCAAATCAGGGATATAAATAAAATGTGTTTTTTAAGATCCTGTGAAGAAAAATAAAGTAATTCCAATAACACGAGGGAGCTGCTGGTATGTATATATGTATGACTTAAAGCGGAGTTCCACCCAAAAGAGGAAGCTCCACTTGTCTGCCTTCTCCCCCCTCCACTGCCACATTTGGCACTTTTTAGGTGCCTGGTTTTGACAGGTACCCACTGCCACTTGCAGCTCAGTTCACTGCAGCGAACTGACCCGGAAGTTTGGGGCCCCCCCCTCCTTCCCCTGTAGCATTGTGGGACACTACACAGGTCCCAGAAGACTGCGGCCCACTCACAAAGCGCTTTGCGCATGCGCAGTAGGGAACCGGCTGTAAAACTGCAAGGCTTCACTGCCAGTTTCCCTTAGTCAAGATGGCGGTGCCAGCACCTGATGGTCGATTTGAGGGATCTGCTCAGTTGAGGACACCGCTGGATGCCTGGACAGGTAAGTGCCCGAATAGTAAAAGTCAACAGCTACAGTATTTGTAGCTGCTGATGTTTAATTAATTTTTTTTGGGAGGGAAGGGGGCAGGACTCCTCTCTAAGCTCAACCTCAATATATGAATTCTTTTGCGTATCCCTGAAAAAGAGACCCAGTGAATAACTCAACACACACATGAATTACAAAATAAAAAACTCCTTATTGAAAGACCTACACTACACAAAAAACTTACTGTCTCATAAATAAAACCATAATTGCTCAATTATTAAAAAACCCCTCCCATATCATCTGCAGGAAAAATACTAGGCATCACCTCCTAATGAGGAATCACATGCATAGAAGTATCCCTAACAATTTATATATGCATTTATGTGGAGGGCATGAAGTATATATACTATAAGGCTATATTGCATAAAAGGAACTCCTCCTCCATATGGATATCCAAAAGTCCATCCATTTTATGGCTGAATGACCATTCAAAGTCCATGTTGGACATTAGGTAGAGAAAATGAATCCACATTTGATCAAAGTAAGCTGTAGCAGATATTTCATTTGAAAGGCTCCCAAAGAAGAATACTGTATCTTAAGTATCATCTATATACCTCGCTTGTAGCATGCCATGCCAAAAATTAGATCATTGTATGAATGTTCTCCTGTGTAGATTGACTATTTGGATAAGGGAACAACCAGCTTGCTGAAAATGCTGAAAGACTCCTGGGGCAGTTAGACATATACTATATAGTATATACTGTATGTCTTACTTGTGGAATGTCATGCTAATAAATGGATCCTTATATGAAAGAATCTTCCAACTCTATCAATTGATTGCCAAATAAGGAAGCCACCAGCCAACTCAGCCAATGCCGGAAGACTCCATAAGCAACTAAATATCATAAGGGGATTTTTTCAGTTGTATAGGGCATGGTTGGTAAATGCCTAGTAAGGAAGCCACCGACGCAGTGGAAGAAAGTTCCAAGTGATTGAATGTCTTAAATGAAATACTTAGCCATACAACTGGGTCATCCAAACTCTCCTCTTGAATGGTGGTACTTTATAGATGTCTGTCTGAGAACACCCCATTGTCTCATCTTGGATGGAGGAGATAGGGAGTGAGAGGTAACCCAACAGTTGTCAAAATGGGAGGGAGGCTGGAAACCTGACTGGTATCACTGGTCACGCCGGCTGCTTCAGAGGTGAATGAATGTGCTAAAAACTCCCATTGATCGTACAAAAAAATGTAATAAATGTTTTACTGCTGACCATAATATATAAAGAAAAGAATTGTAGCAAACCACTACAACTTCTCTATCAGTGATTGAAAGCTGGGTGTTCCCTCTGGTGGTTAAATCTTTATATTTAATACAGTAACAAAAATATGGAACAGTAAGCAAAGCATGCAATAATTTGAAACTTACATGGACGTTTGTTTTTTTTTCTTCAGTTTTGAACATTCTTTATTTAAAGGTTTTTACATACAGATAGGAATGTTTCCCAGACAAGCTCAGGGTGTGGGATAAGCCATTTTCACTGCAATATAACATACTAGACAAAACAGTGATCTTTCCCGAACATAGATTTCTTTAGTTTTGGATAGAGTAGAGTTATTAAGAGGAAATCTCACCAAAGTTAGGGAAATCCTCTCTTCGACATATGTTCCTGGAACAGATGTCCCAATTGGTTTTGCCATCTCTTCCTGGCTTTGTGATAATGCTCATTGGACAAACAGAGGGATGGATCTCCCCAATGGGAACACAATAAAAACCTTATGCCTTAAAGCTTCTATAAGAAATACAGTTGCCAACTCTTGCAGGCCCCAGTGAGATTTGAATTCACGACCTCTGGGTTTACAAGACCAGTGCCTAACTCCTGAGCTACGGAGCCCTATATACTTTTCTGTTTATTTGACCAATAAAAACTTGACGGGGTTATTATTATTATACAGGATTTATATAGTGCCAACAGTTTGCGCAGCGCTTTACAATATAAAGGGAGACAGTACAATTACAATACAGTTCAGTACAGAAGGAATAGGAGGGCCTTGCTCATGGAGTTAATCTTTTCCATCTCTATCCAAAAGAAGAAAAAAAGTTTTACATACACTTTAACAAAAACACTATAATATAGATTTTTGCTCAGTGAAAATACACTTTATTTAGCCTGTAAGTTGATATTGTCTCACACTGTTAATGGTGAGTTAATGTCTTGTGTTACAGAAATACTTCATCATCATGCAGAGTGTCTTCTTCCCAGATGAGAGGATCATTGGCCGGTAGGATGTCTATTTTTTTATATATTTCTTACTTTTATATCCAAGGGTGGTCATGGGTGGTGTTAGTAACTGTCTTGTCTCCAATCTGTTCAGCTATGATATAAAAGGCTGTCATGTAAGTCGCTGGACAGAGCCAGAACCAGAGGGAAGCCGCGGAGTCCTGCAGGTCTTCAAGGATATGAACTTTGAAGGAAATGTCATCTGTTTGGGTTAGTGTACTTTCTTCTTATCTGATTGCTGGAGGTCTAGATGTTGTGAATTATATATCTCATACTTCCTTTAGTCCTATACGCTTATGTTATATGGCCAGTTGGAATGGATCACTGGCTTTCAGTGAAACCAATGCTTTCAGTACAGGGAAACCATCACTCTGATATATCAGGTGATAAGTTTGCTTTTGGGATAAGTTATCCTTAGCAATATAAATTGGCCTCTAAATTTAACTATCTGCTCCACATTATACTCTGCTAGGTTTTGCACACTGTGGCCTGCATTTTATGGTCCAATCATAAAATGCAGGCTTAACGTAGCAGAGAAACCTCCATGATTGGAGGAGAACTGGTCATGCAAGGGATCTCCCCCAGCTTTTTTATTTCTGTGTTTCAATCATGTGTATTTAGCATCACTGGCTTCAAACTCCTAAAGCCACTGGAGCAAAATACACATTTGTAAAGCATACCCCTGTACCTTAAAAACTGCCTAGAAGTCCAGTGTTAAAATCAGTGGTATGGCTTAGTTGATAACTTATCTTAGGACACCACTTTATTGCTATGACTCTAAGGTTCCATTCTCACGGGTAGAAAAAAAACATAGTTGATCAACATTTTTACCATCCCTAGACCACCCACATAACACCCAATATGGCAATCCAGAGGGGTTTGTACATATACCACAGCCACAATGCTTTGCTTCCTGGCAAATTTAACTATTGAGTCTGACAGGTGGCACAGCCTGTCAAACTCACCAACTCAAGTAAATTGGATTATGTCACAAATGCCTTACTCAGTGTTGCAGCACAGTATTTCCATGCAAAATCCCCCTTTTGCTGTTAAAACAAAAAATAGATGAATAAACTGTTGTTCAAGAGGTGGCAATATCACCTGTATGCCTGCAAACCTTTTCACAGCTACCTCTGAAAAGTGACCCATTGCAAATCAGTTTTCAGGGGATAGTTAATACTGCTTCCTGTGTGAAAAGCCTTAACAGAAAACTGGTGTCACACAATGGTTTTTACACACTGTAGAGTTCCCTCTGTTATCGAGCGGAGATCTACTCAGTATTACTACAAAGTTGTGTATACCCTCTTTCCTGGATACCAGCAAAGCAGTCTTTTCATTTACCAGGAGCCCGCTGAGTGAATGCATTATTTCAAACTCTTCCTAGGGCCAGGTTGTCTCAATTCCCTGCCACACTCTGCTCTTTTGCTTCAATTTATGCCATCAAGTTTTTTCAAGTCAGGGGACATGGTCATATTACTACCTGTAGTGTCAACAAACACAGACAGGCCTGTATTGTGGTGTCTTCTAGACAGCTTAATGTGATGGACGCGGGATCGCTGCCACCATTATGCGACGATCCCACGATCGCTGTCACCAATATGTGACGACTGCGCCGTTGGACCCCAGCCCTTCTCACCAAACTCGTGACCGAAGGACTACCCAATCTTAAACCGCAATGTCACGTGCGTAACAATGCCACACCCAGCTGCACCCTGCACAACGATTTTCCAGCTAATTGGACCACAATCAATGTACCGGCAGCCTGAGCGATTGTTACTGGGCCAGGTTAATTACGCAATTGCCCTTCACACTGCCACCACCTCCTTTTTGTACAGAGAAAGAGGAAACTCGGCGATATCCGCAATAACACTATAATGGTTGAGGTAATCGTCTGTATAACACGGTCACTGCAGGCCGGTTATACAGAGGGTTAAACAAACACAGTAGCGTTCTCTTTAGAGGCAGGAATTCGTATATTGCAATTTAGAGCTATAGAAACAGTTCAACACTTTCAGAAGGAAAGATTTATTACTGAAAAGTCAAAAGGGGGTGCGATAAAATATTTACAGAACGATGTAACCTATATATATATATATATATATATATATATATATATATATATATTATATATATATATAGATAGAGAATAACAGCACAGCAAAGAGATAATAGAAAGGAGGTTAAAGTATTTGCCAAAGTCCTGAGCTAGCAGATCAAGTTTCAGAGCGAAAGGGCACGGGTCTCCCCAGGTGGTATTGATGTTAAATGGGAGTGTTCAACTTTTTTCTCTTAGACCTGACAGCCCATTTTGTAGTTCCCCAGCAGGGGGTGTCTCTGAAGTCAAAGACCAATACCCCATTTAGAGCGTGGAGGTCTGGGCGGATACCTCGACTAGAGCCAAAATCTCTCATAACTCATATTGGGCCCATAACTTTCCATCTGCACAAGTGACATTCCACCCGCGGGTAGATTATGATGCAGAAACGTCTGAGGATTGATTAGATATGAATTATGAAATTTTACACTGAACGGTTCACGAGATCTACTTTTCGCTTTCCTATGTATTCGAGACAAGGCGAGTGACCTACCAAACTGTTCATCTTCTCGTGGCCAATCTGATGATATGTCTGGTTTTTATGTAAGTCTCTCATATTCCAAGATATGAGACATAGGGGAAAAATGGATTTTAACAAAGGTTATCTGGTCATGTTTCCTTGGAATGTTCTTTGAACTCCTGGGAAGGCTTGCCTTATCTTATATGAGGTGTTAAATTACACAGGTTCTTTGGACAGCTAGGCCCCGCCTCCCTTGGGGGTCCTATAGCTCATAGCCCCCCTGCTGGCTCTGGCCTGTGACACACACACGCTGCCATATGTCACTGTGCCTCTCAGAGAGGGAGGGGGGAAAGAATGAGGGAATAACATGGATACTGTTAACAAAATGGAGGCTTCGTCCTTCACTGTGTGTACACTGGTTACACTTAACATGTCTCAAAACTGGTACCCAAAATGTATTGAAAGATCATCTGTGAACAGTAATACAGTGGCTGGTAAATGTTTATAGTCAAATATATTTTTATTAAAGCTTCAGTGTATCAAAGCAGCACAGTAAAGAGCCAGAAATTTTAACAATTGTAAAAGAGTAATATCAGGATCTACCAAGGATAAGATATGTGTCCACATACAAGGAACAGAAACTGACATTTGGTAAATCAAACATATGTGATGAAAATAAAGGTATGTAGTGTGAATCTATAAACCATTATTCCCCCCAAAGTCCTTGGGCCTGAGACCCCAGAACAACCACTATAATTGCAAAGTAGGTGTATCCAATGAGAAAAACAAGAGAGGATGGTGGAAACAAAGTAGATATAGTAGGAGAAGCAAAGAAAAAGAGAAAGAAGGCATGGGTCTCGAGGAGATTCTAAAGGCCAGGAATGAGGAGAGATTAATAGGATAATAATCCCCTCCAAGAAGGGGAGCCTCACATTGCGATACCAAGGAGGAACCTATGAAAGATCCTTGATCTAAATCTCAGTCAACTACCAGGGAAGGGTAGGTTCCCTCGTAGTTTCCCACCTGTCCCTGGGAGAGAAATAAAAACCAGAGCATGGTGAATTTGTCATAGTTGTCCACATTGAGTGCTAGAGTCTCCTCCATACGCATAATATCATTTAAGGTAGTGACCCAAAGGGAAAGCGGAGAGGGAACAAACAATTTCCAAAAATGCAGTATAATATGTCAAGCTGGCAAGAGAAAAAAATGATAAAAAGCTTTTTTTGGGAAGCCATGGAATACTGGTAAATGCTCCAGTATCTCAGCCATATCTATACCCCATGCATTGTGGATGGCCTGTAATGTTGCTTTGGGCACTGATTCTAGCTTGGGTGCTCATCTTGGCACTGAGTGCAATGAGTGTAGATAGTCACAGAGTGCTATACAGTTCCAGGGCCATGGTTCCTGAACCATGAAAGGTATGTCCACTATGGCAGGCAAAGCCTGAACTCCTAGAAGGACCAGCTTCATGGAAAAGTAAGACAGGTTCAACTGGTTATCGGACCAATACAATAGAATAAGAGCAAGTATCAGAATCTATATTTCCATTTCTTGCAGTACACGTAATTGTCCCCCAAATAGTATTTATTTCTACATAAATAAGGAAAAAATCCCCCTGCGCTAAACAAAAATAGTATGAATGTATAACCAAGCAGCTAACACCCTATCCTATACCAAAGGTGCAATAAATAGTAAATAATAATATTGGTGTAGCGCTACATAGAGTGTAATAATATAGAATAAATAAATATAATCATTAAAACATATATAAACATAAATCAGTGATGGATCCTTCAAGGATCTATATAACGTGAAACAACAAGTGACTATGTGCATATATACCTGGTCCCAAATCTGGACCCACAATTATAGTGCAAAAAACACCCAATCCCAAATTGGGATAAATGAATAAAGTGACACAGTGAGTCCCAAAAGATGGGATAACCTATAATCAAAAGTGACTAGTGCTGAGACTCCCAATGAATATATCAACTGCATATATCAAAAAAACTAATAAACACAGTGATAAATATGAATAAAAATGAATAAAAAACACTTGAAGATGTATTGAAAGTCCAAAAAAAGTGCAAAACATTGTGCAAAAAATACAAATAAATGTGCTTCAATCTTCAGCAACAGGTGCTTGTGCGACACGCAGGTGGATAAATATCTTTAAATGGCTGAAATGCCGCCTCCACCTCCTTGCCACGACCCTTAGAGCCACAACGCCTTATGGATCACCCTGGATCCTATACAGTAGATAGCTCCACACCATACAGCATCACATTAAACAAGCTCCAGTGGCTCCACATAACCTCAAATGGTAACTTCCTTACAGCATTGGTTCTATCCCATCTTTTGGGACTCACTGTGTCATTTTATTCATTTATCCCAATTTGGGATTGGGTGTTTTTTGCACTATATTGTGGGTCCAGATTTGGGACCAGTTATATATGCACATAGTCACTTGTTTCACGTTCTATAGATCCTTGAAGGATCCATCACTGATTTATGTTTATATATGTTTTAATGATTATATTTATTTCTTCTATATTATTACACTCTATGTAGCGCTACACCAATATTATTATTTACTAATTCTAAATAAAACTGTGAGGAAGCTGGGATTATGTTTGAGCTTTTTCATTCATGTGAGTTTTTAAACTTTCAAACTTGGCAGTAAAAATTCCACCATTCAGGGCTTAGGCTGAGGTGGATAACTAGGTGTTAAATCACACCTCAGGTAGCACTGTTACCACCACCTCTGCCCAGAGCCCTTATAATATACTCAGGCATTTCCTCCTGCCCTTTTAACACGAGTACTTTGCTGCCAAACAGTCAACACCTGGGTCACTCTATCATTCTACGAACACATTTATCCCATTTCTGCACCCTAATTCATGCGTACCCCATAGGGGAATAGCTGCACCTAGCAATGGTGGAAACCAGGCATAAGGGAACAGCAACAAAAACTCAGGCAAATATTCACTCTGCAGAATGGTTGCAAAACACTCAAACCGCTCAGAGTGACGAGATGTCTCTCTGGCACCGAAGCACGTTTTAAAACCAATGTCTGCATCTAATTCTAGTTCTATGTCGAGCACACATCAAACGGCCTATCTGACCAAGGCAGATTTCTTGGCAACTATTTAAGAGTTTATTAGACAACTGATGGCCTTAAGACAGCCATCACTGTCCAGAGCTTAAAAGTGCCAGACTTCTTCTCCATCCCTACCTTTTCTACTTAAGTTGGAAGTGGAAGTACGGAAGTGGATGTTTTATAGAAGGCTGCGTAAGATCTCTCACCCCCAGGATCCAATACATCTTACACTCCGACTTTACGCAAAATTCACGCCAGTGCAGACATGCTCACTTCTGCTGTACACAAAAGCATTGGCACTTGAATCTCCTCCATCTTGCCATGCCTCTCTAGGTACTACGAGACCTGCAAAGTGTAAAGAAACATTCCCCATTAATGAACAAATAAAAATGGGCAGTTTATGATGCACTACTGAAAAGGTTTTCAGTCCTCAAAGAATCATTGCCGAGCTACTAAATCCTTTGGAAAAATAATTCACAAAAAAGTGGACTGTTTCCATAGTAGATTACCCTACCATCTCAGTCTTAAACAAACAATTTAAAATGAAGATGTTCCTTCATTTAAGAATTCTGCAGACAGAAAATGTGAGATGTTCTTAAAGGCTGTCTTTAGTCAAGCAAGTCCAGCCCAGTAAACAGCTATTGCTTTGAATTCTCTTTGTCAACCAGCAGCTGATTGGACACGGGAAATAATCAACAGGATTTTGTTTTCCAGGACAAGTTCTTGTGGAACACTTATAAACATTGCCCTCTGGCCTACTTTTCTGTATCAGATTATGGCAGCATAGTGGCAGGTTAGCACAGTATAGTGGCAGGTTAGGGTTGGCTTTGGGGGAGAGCACAACTAAAATCTGGGGGGCAAGCCCACTCCTACACCCCCCTAGATCCAGCCATGCTTGGAACACAAAGTTCACCAAGTCTACCCCAAAACCTTCTTCACAGTGAAGGGGTGCACTTACTCTTAAGAGTGGAGGGCGACTGTAGCAGTTTGCATTCCTCTGAGTCACAGAGGTCCCAGACCTATAGATTCAAACTCTACCTCCTCACTGCTTTTTTGTTTAAAACCAGCCAAAATCTGCCCAAAGACATTCAGTTTTGCAGACCGTCCTACACCTACTTTTGTCCCAGGGAGTGGTCATTCTGGACCCTCAGGAGAGGCTCAATGGATTTTATTCAAACAGTCTCATACTGTTCATGGTACCATGGTATGTCAATATTTGTCCTTATCTGGGCTTGTAATCCCTGAAAAAGTACCTTCATGCTCTAAAATGTTGCATTGAATGTGCAAGGTCAGTAATTGCCTCTCAGAGACATGGGGAATATCTGGCATCAGTGCACCTTAAAGATACTTATCTACATATTTCCATTTACCCACCTCTTCAACATTTTCTGCACTTTACAGTGGGAGAAAAATACCTCCAGATTACTCACACTGTTATTTGGCCTATCCTCTGCTTCCACTTCTGCTTGCATCTCCTAGGCGATCCGAGCAGAAGTTCTCCTCTCCCTTTCCTGCAGTCCTCTAGGACACGTCACAAGTCCCTAAGGACTGTGGGACCAGTCATAAAGTGCTTAACAGCTCGCGCATGCGCAGGGGGCAGCCAGCTGTGAAGCTGCAAGCAGCACAGCCTACTGCCCACAGTTGAGATGCCAGTGCTGGGAACCCAAAGGCTAGTGCAGATTTAGCCTGGGTGAGGATGTTGCTGGATCCATAGACAGATAAGTGTCCTATTATTAAAAGTCAGCAGCTATAGGACTTGTAGCTGCTGACTTTTCTTTTTTTTTTTTCTTCAGAGTGGAGAACCGCTTTAAGAACCGAAGGCATGCAGGTCACAGGGTAACTAGACAACTTCTTCTGAAGGATTCATCTGCCCCAAAACTGCATCTCCCCTAAATCTCCCCCCTCTGTAAACGTCCAAAAGGCTATCCAGATTCTTCAAGCCTTCAGCCAGGTAATCACTTTCAAAAGTCCCTGCCCTCCAGCCTTCCTTTTATCTAGAATACTTAAAAAGCAGCTCCAGTCAATTTTGTGTTTATTAAAATTCAGCAGCTACAAAAACTGTCCCAGCATCCAGCGATGTGCTCACCCAAGCCCTTCCTTTCCTCTGTGTCCTGTTTCCTGTGCCAGCATCTCAACTGTGGGTACCCGGCTGTGACAGCTTGTGACTTCACAGCCGGATGCCCACTGTGCATGCAAGAGCCGAGCTGCACAGTAGACAAATGTCCCGCAGTCTTCTGGGACCTGTCATGTTTCCCAGAAGACTGCGGGGAGGGAGGGGGGAGAAGAGAACTTCTGCTTGGATAACCTAGGAGATCACCAGGCAAAACCAGGTACCACCCCCCAAAAAAAAGTGCCATTTGGTGAATAGGAGGGGGAGGAGGCTTTAAAACGGAACTTCCCCTTTTGGGTGAAGCTCAGCTTTAAGCCTCATTATGAACACTTGCTTCCCTAAGTTTACATGCTTTGACCTTAAGATCAAAAAGAAATCCCTGGAACAAACACACTCCTTTTTCTCAGTTTCCTATGCTTCTCCCAGTCAAACAAGGAAATCCCTAGCTTGGTAGCTTTCCACAGCCTTGGTGCTACTCTTCACTGCCTGGTAAAAAAAAAAAAACTGAGGAGGAGGGGTTAAAGGAGTACACCTGGGGGGGGGAGGGGGGGGGGCTGGGCTTTTCCACTGGGTCTATGATTATCCAGCCTCTCCTGTACTGTGCTCCATGATAAGGAATTTGCAGGTAAGTTAAAACTCTTATTTTTGTCTTTAATTTTTCTAAGAAACGCAGCGGCAGTAGGGCTGGCTGCCTGAACATAGTATTCTTATGTTTATTATTATCTCTCTTGCCTCAGATCAGCAGCGGTCTTGGTTGCTTCGCCAAACGGAGCTGGACACCCGCTTCTTGCGTGAGCTGAATGTGCTGGACTACAGCCTGCTAGTAGGATTTCAGCCTCTACATGCTGATGAGAAGAGCCAAAACTGGTCCTTCGCCAACCTCATTGTCCGCACTAAAAGGTGACCAAAGGCAACAAATGAGGGTGGGGGAAAGGAATTGTCAGTTAAAGGGAAAGTACAGTGTAGGTCAAGTGAGCTCATACTTTGGATTTAAACTTTAATGTGATTTTTATAATTTTTACAAACTTGTGCTCCCATGTTTTTATGATTATATTAAGTATAAAGAGTAGTAGTTTAGCCACTAGAGATAACAGTTGAGATAAGATATGAGCCACACAAGGAGTGCATTGACCTTAGTGAGACAGTCGACTCATAGGGGGTTATTTACTAAAACTGCATGGTGCAAAATCTGGTGCAGCTCTGCATAGAAACCTATCAGCTTACATATTTTTTGTCAACGCTTTACTAGACCAGTGGTGGGCAACCTTTTTTTTCAACTGAGCCAAATCTCGCCAAAACCACGATTGAAATTTATTTTGAGAGCCACATTTTTAAAACTGAAAAAATCCCCCATATAGTAACATCCCCCATATAGTAATTCATCCCCCATAGTAATTCATCCCCCATATAGTAATTCATCCCCCATAGTAATTCATCCCCCATATAGTAATTCATCCCCCATATCCCCCATAGTAATTCATCCCCCATATAGTAATTTCATCCCCCATATATTCATCCCCCATATAGTAATTCATCCCCCATAGTAATTCATCCCCCCTATAGTAATTCATCCCCCATATAGTAATTCACCCCCCATATAGTAATTCACCCCCCATATAGTAATTCACCCCCCATATAGTAATTCATCCCCATAGTAATTCATTCCCCATATTGTGTCAATTCACTTACCTTTGCTCCGTGCGCTCATCTCGCCGTGTTCCCGCGCCGTTCCGGTCTTCAGGGCGGACTGTGAGAGGAGAGGAGTTCGTCACGCTGCCCCGCCTACATCCTGACAGCCAATGTTTGCCAAGCTCCGCGGGCCGGATTAAAAGGTCCGCCGGGCCGTAGTTTGCCCATTGCTGGGCTAGCTGCATTGTCTTGACTTTTGGGGCGGCCGCTCGCTCGAGAGAGGAGGGAGGGGAGCGGCGCGCCCGGCACACAGAAGAGCCGCATTTTAGTGTGTAAAGAGCCGCATGTGGCTCGCGAGCCGCGGCTTGCCGACCACTGTACTAGAGCAAGCTGAAGTTAAAAGCTGATTGGCTACAGTGCACAGCTGCACCAGATTCTGGTGCACCAATTTTAGGAATTCCACCATAGTGTGTAAAAAAAGCAGTAAAGCTGTAGCGCAGAAAGCTGCGTATTAATTATTTATTTATTACAGGTACTTATATAAACATTTTGACTATTCACAGAAAGGTTTTAAAACATAAACTTATATTGATAAGGTTGTTTTGTTATATCAAACTGATTTCTTTTACATGTTTATTTAAAATACATTGAAGACTATATTTTCCAATTAAAAGAGAACCTATTCTGTACGCATTTAAGATGCAACAGCAGGTTCATTGGAGAGCTGCTTCATCCACTCATTCCCCCATTGTTGGTACTTACTATCCATATGCCACCCAGTCTTCCTGCTTGAGCAATCAAACACCCAGCACTTTCAGGTATGGGGGAGCATGTGTTCCCCTTCTCCCATTATGCAGTGCCGTAATTTTGAGTGGTCAATTGCCTAATATATCTCGGTCCTTAGCCAGGTAGGCTCCAGACCTATCAACTCGGAGCTTACACAGGGCTTTCTCGCTTGCTCCAGCAGGTAAACATGGCTACAGAGAAGGTAACCATCAGCTGCAGGTGGGAGGATGTGGATATCAAGTGAACATTTTACTTCTTTGCCCTATTAGCAAAAATAAGTACTTACCATAAAATCTCTTTCAAGTTCATTGAGGGACATAGGAATTCAGAAACAGTTGAGTCATACTGCTGCCAACAGGAGGATGGGACACTAGTAAACGGGAAAGTTGTAAGTCACCCCCCATAAAATCCCGCTACTACCCAGCATGCCTCAGTTTTGTATACAGCAATTGGTATACAGGGTCAGCAAAAAACACAGGAGTGGGACCTGTGTCCCTCAATAGAAATACAGTTTTTATGGCAAGTCCAAAAATCTTATTTTCTCCATTGTTCATTGAGGGACAAATTAATTCAGAAACAGCTGGAATGTCCAAAAGGAGTCCAAATGAGGGATGGGCAACAGCCAATGACAGAACCAAGAAGGGACCAGGAGCCATCTACAACACAGGACTATGAGAAGGACCAATACCATAATCTGAACCAGATGTTCTCTCTCTGGGATAGGGAAGGCTAGAGAGGATCAACCTGAAGCTCAGAGCCTATAACAATAGGGGTCCCAGATTACGGATGTCGGTTTCATTTTGTTATACTGGGTGAATGCCCTGGAACTGCTAGGGGCGTGTGGACTGCGTTTTTTACAGCAGCATTGAGACTGTTACCTGTGTTTCCATGGAGGACATATTGCACTGCACAGCAGTAAGCAGCTAGGCACAATATGAGTCAAGGCCTTAAAGGAAAAGTTCACCTTTTTAGAGAAAAATATAATCAATGCACAATTTTTCTGCAGACAAAAAATGTGCATTTATTATTTTTTCCTGCATGAACCTGGAAAGCATTGCATCCATAATCAGTGGATCCAGGGTGCAATGTCAGCCTTATGATGACAAGTCCTGCAGCTTTCACGACGTACCCCAACTACAAGGGCTCCTCATCAGTGCCCTCTCAGTTCATTCAAAACTACAAGCTGTCTACCACGGTGGATGTTGGTACATGTAGTTCATTCATTCCCAGGAACCTGTGACTGAATGATGTGGCTGTGTGGGTGGAGCCCCACTGTTTTTGAATTGTGACAGTCAGTGAGGGGAGAAGACCCTCTGCCCTGTGACACTTAGGGGGGGATTAGGAGGCAAAGGGGCAGGAGCTGGAACATGTTACATGTTCAACCCTGAATACGGGTAACATGTTCCAAAAGGTAATCTTATCCTTTAATACTCACAAAAGCAGGCAGCTGGTGCTAATGAGAATTTCAGGCAGCTGTAGGTGACCAAGTGTAGCAGCCAGAAGAACTAAACTGGAGAACAGCAGCGGGATGGTGCTTCCTCTCCAGACTAAATTTCAGGAAAGAAACCACAGAGCATGCGTGTGTAGTGCCTAGCAGTTGACTTCAGTGCTCAGTCCCTCATTCGTAACCTGTACAGTGGTAAATACAATCAGTAGTGGGAAATTTAAAAAAATGCAAACTAAGATATAACACCTGGCACTTCAGCCTAACTGGCATTACCAAGTGAATCTTCATAGACAGAGTCACACATGGGGCTGTGCCGCAGCTCTGGAGCTGGAGAACACTATGTGGCTAACATAGCACATAAAGGTCTGGAAAGCACCCAGCACCTGAAGGTCACATTCCAGGCTAGCCCCACACATCCAGTCCACTAGGGTCCGGATGAGGCCTCCAAAGGAAATGCTGAGGGATTGCCAAGCTGGATAGCTGCTATATAGGGACCAACTCAAGCAGTGGTGTAGTGAGGAATATTGATTGAGAACACTGAGGGAAAAAAAACTGTACAAATCAAAAAAGGCTACTAAAAATGTTGTTTCAGCAAGGCTGAAGAAAAGGCATCCATGCCCCTAGGTCAGTGGTGGGCAACCTTTTTTTTCAACTGAGCCAAATCTCGCCAAAACCACGATTGAAATTTATTTTGAGAGCCACATTTTTAAAACTGAAAATACATCCCCCATATAGTAATTCATCCCCCATAGTAATTCATCCCCCATATAGTAATTCATCCCCCATAGTAATTCATCCCCCATATAGTAATTCATCCCCCATATAGTAATTCATCCCCCATATAGTAATTCATCCCCCATAGTAATTCATCCCCCATATAGTAATTCATCCCCCATATAGTAATTCATCCCCATATAGTAATTCATCCCCCATAGTAATTCATCCCCCATATAGTAATTCATCCCCCATATAGTAATTCATCCCCCCTATTGTGTCAATTCACTTACCTTTGCTCCGCGCGTTCCTCTCGCCGTGTTCCCGCGCCGTTCCGGTCTTCAGGGCGGACTGTGAGAGGAGAGGAGTTCGTCACGCTGCCCCGCCTACTTCCTGACAGCCAATGTTTGCCTCGCTCCGCGGGCCGGATTAAAAGGTCCGCCGGGCCGTAGTTTGCCCATTGCTGGGCTAGCTGCAGAGTCCTGACTTTTGGGGCGGCCGCCCGAGAGGAGGGAGGGGAGCGGGCGCCCGGCACACAGAAGAGCCGCATTAAAGAGTGTAAAGAGCCGCATGTGGCTCGCGAGCCGCGGCTTGCCGACCACTGCCCTAGGTCAACAGCAAAAAGCTGAGGTATGGTGGGTAGAGGATGGGTTAAAGGGGGACTGTCTTAAAACTTTTTGTTTACCAGTGTCCCAACCTTCGGTAGACGACAGCAGAACCCAACTATTTATGAGTTCCTGTATCCCGCAATGGACAATTGAGAAAAAATCTCTTTGGTTCTGTAAATGGTTATTGTGCATGTTGACCATAAATGTAAAGGGTTGTAAGAACATATCAGAATGGATTTATAAAACCTGGAAGACAAAATAACAAGCTGTTGCTGCAACAGAAAAAAAAAGCTATAATGACTCCACAACAGCAGCTTTCTCTGCTGCAGCTCTGACCAAAAGCTGGGTGCGTTAAATAATCTTTTTAATTTTTTTTCTCGCTAATTTATACGACAAAACATTAATGCTTATTGATATTATTTAAAGAGGTATTAAACCCAAATGCAAAAATTTTTTATACTGCAGCTTGTCAATTCTTAGATGTGGTGGCTGCATTAGTTTTCCTTTTAGGCTTTTGTTCCTTTTTCACCTGGTGATCCAGCTAGTAAGTCTGCTGTTTTGAGCAGAACACGCTGCCCTGCAAATGTAGCAGTTAGAGGGATGAGACAAACCATTTACATTGATGGGTTGCTTGCAATGATCATCTTTGTTATATTTCCGTAAAACCTTTATCCCAAAAGGAAAACAAAAACTGTTGCTGTAACTGCTCAAAAAGTGTGAGCTGGAGTTTGGCTTCAATTTGTTAGTCCATCTAAATCTGCTAGTACATTTAACACTACCTTACCCCAAGACTGACAATGCTGGTGCCCCTGTGCTCATTCACTCTAATACAGGAGGTGTGTTACTGGCCAGATCACCAGGTGAAAACAGAAGAAAAGCCATAAAAGAAAACTAATGCATCCATCACATCTAATGACTACTAAGTTGAAAAACATTTATTTTTGACTTAAAAAAAAAACAAAACAGAAATGTAGACATATACCCTCTTTAGTTACACTGGAGCCGCTTCTTTAGATGAAGCTGATTGTTCTAATTGGAGAGTATAATAAAGTGTGATTTGCAGGTCGGTAAATGGAACTGGTAGCCCTACCACATCTCACTGTGCCTCTGTCCCTGGCACCGTAGAAGAGGAGAGCGATTCTGTGGATAAGGAGGATAACAGCACAGATTATAGCGGCACCCCAGAAGTGACCTCTGCCAGACGTCTGCCCATGAAGAAGATCGGGCAGCAAGTCAGCACGGTATCTGACGTATCCGATGTTGTAGCGCAAAACCGCCGCTTGCTGCCAAACTACAGGAACCCTTTGCATGTGATGGATGGGCCAGAGCAAAGATACTTTGTTGGCATCATCGACATATTCACTGTGTATGGCCTTAGGAAAAAGCTGGAGCATATTTGGAAGAGCATGCGTTATCGTGGACAGGAGTTCTCCACTGTCAGCCCTTACCGTTATTCAGAAAGACTGTGTCGTTGGGTGGAAACCCACACCGTGTAACAGTTGGCCACTTTGACTTGGAGAGCAGTCTGGGCTGAGCAGCAGCACTAGCTCCATGTCTGCAATATAATCCTTTTTATAGAGACTTTATTCATTTGGCTGTTATTTATTACTGTGTACATTTTAATCCATGTGGGCCATTGAAGACCGCATGTAGAGCATTTACCACAATCAGAAGGCTGCAGAAAGATATGATGGTTGTGTTACCAGAACTGCAGAGAATCTTGTAATTCCTCTCTGTACCACCCACTTCTTCTATACAGCACTGTTACCACTGGATTTACACACAAGCACCCAGTGGGGGCCATACAGGTGCTACCAAACTGTACATTTTAAATTATTTGTACTGCGTACACCCTACTGCCTAGTCAGTGCCTTATGTTACATTAAATACAGCCATGTCTGGGACCTCCAACAGCTACATACTTGCTATATACAATGCCCAGACACCGCTGTATTATGTGCAACACTGAAGGCAGTACAATCTAGTGATCTTATGGGATATTGCCTTCTTACCCCCTGGCAGCTCCTCCCTGCTCTGTGCCTTTATCAAATTCAGTGTACCTGCATGCAGTTGCTACATTTCAGATGCCTTTTTGCAAACACCACCAATATAAATGTGTGCGAGTATATACAGTTGTGTTCAAAATAATAGCAGTGTGTTGAAAAAAGTGAATAAAGCTCAAAATCCTTCTAATAGCTTTTATTTCCATACACACAAATGCATTGAGAACACTACACATTCTATTCCAAATCAAAACATGAAGAAAAATCTATCAAATTTTGTGTTGTTCCTTTAAAAAAAACAGAAGAAAAGTGAATATTAGACTGTTCAAAAAAATAGCAGTGTGTTTTGTATTCTTCTTTACAAACTCAAACATTCACTATATAAACTGAAAAATGTTTGAAGATTTTGCTTTCCTTTGAATCACTTAATGAATATTTAGTTGTATAAGCACGGTTTCTGAGAACTGCTGTACATCTGTGTTGCATGGAGTCAACCAACGTCTGGCACCTGTGAACAGGTATTCCAGCCCAGGATGATTGGACTACATTCCACAGTTCTTCTCTATTTCTTGGTTTTGCCTCAGAAACTGCATTTTTTGGGGTCATTGTCTTGTTGGAACAGCCATTTCAAGGGCATTTCCTCTTCAGCATAAGGCAGCATGACCTCTTCAAGTATTCTGATGTATTCAAACTGATCCATGATCCCTGGTATGCGATAAATAGGCCCAACACCGTAGTAGTACACCGAGAGAAACATCCCCATATCATGATGCTTGCACCACCATGCTTCACTGTCTTCACAGTGTACTGTGGCTTGAATTCAGTGTTTGGGGTCGTCTGACAAACTGTCTCCGGCCACTAGACCCAAAAAGAACAATCTTACTTTCATCAGTCCACAAAATGTTGTGCCATTTCTCTTTAGGCCAGTCAATGTGCTCTTTGGCAAATTGTAAACTCTTCAGCACGTCTTTTTTTTTTTTGGGACTTTGCGGGGGCTTCTTGCAGATAGCTTGGCTTCACGTAGGCGTCTTCTAATTATAACAGTACTCACAGGTAACTTTACACCTTCTTTGATCTTCCCGGAGCTGATTGTTGGCTGAGTCCTTGCCATTTTGGCTATTCTTCTATCCATTCGAATGGCAGTTTTTCGCTTTCTTCCACGTCTCTCAGGTTTTGGTTGCCATTTTAAAGCATTTGCGATCATTTTAGCTGAGCAGCCTATCATTTTCTGCACTTCCTTATATGTTTTCCCCTCTCCAATAAACTTTTTAATCAAGGTATGCTGTTCTTCTGAACAATGTCTGGAACGACCCATTTTCCTCAGAATTTCAGAGAGAAATGCACTGTAACCAGCATGTACAACATTTGCTGCCTTCCTTCCTTAAATAAAGGCAATAATTGCCACCTGTTTTTCAAAGAATGAATGACCTCACTAATAGAACTCCACACTGCTATTATTTTGAACATGCCCCTTTCAATGAGTGATTCAATTACACAGAATCAGCAGCATGCATGTCATGACTGTTGGGTCTGTTGAATTTCTATTACTCTACTACACCTGCTAGTAAATTATTTGCCATGTAGAAACATTTCTACCAAAAACAGTGATTGATCCGGTTAGTGATGTGTGACTGCTATTATTTTGAACACAACTGTATATATTTAAAGGATGAAAGTGCATGACTGTAGGAGGCATCTGCGCAGTCCTGAGGAATAAACACCCTGATTATCAGACTACTCTTATGGCTGGTAGGACTGTTAATTACCTCCATCAAAAGAACTTGAAACTGTTTCCTTGCAATGGCATATTAACCGATAACATTTTATTATTATCCAGATTTTTCTTAAAATAGAATTTCTGCATTATAAAATGTGCAACTGGAATTTCTTATGCTGTGCCTGTATGCATGTACAATAACAGAAATTATTTAAGCCCAATCAAACTTTCAGTGTAAAAAGGCTAAATACATTCCAGACAAACAAAGGTTTACAAAGACTTAGTCTGTTTTCTTTAGAAAGCAGCCACAGCCTGGGTAAAAAATCCTGTCCCCTGGCTGCAGGCTGTAGAGAAGGACCCTTGCTCTCTGTGTGGAGCAGTCTCTCTGCAGAAATCTGAAATAAAAGGATTGTTGCTATCACATGATTACGTTTGAAGTGAACACAATTTCACCTTATTTTCGAAGCTCTGTTGACACTCTCTACTCCTTTAATACATCAACCCTATTGCATACAATATACAGTAAAATATCTTCTACCTCCAATTAAATTTTGAATCCACTTGGTAGCTTGGAGCAAAATTTAATTGTATGTTCCAGCCATTATGGGAAATGAGGTGCTGAGATGCATACAGGGAACAAAGACCATCAGCCCAGTAAGGTTGTAGCACATAGGTCCACAGCTTTAATATCAGTGTTCTGGGAACCCCTTTTGCTAATCTGTTTGTTATCCAGAGGACTTTCAGCCCCTTGGAAGCTCCTTTTTGTCTGTTGCTCACATACAGAAAACCCTATCAAAGTTCAAAAGAGTTAGTGCATCACCTTGGAAGGGTGATGCATTGGAAGCAAGAGGCAGAAATGGCTAGTGTCAACAAGATTTTGATGGCATCAGAACTGCTTATCTCCCTGCAAAATTTTATCGGGATATGTAATGCAAAGGCAGGCTGATGCAGCTTAGGTCAAATGCACCTGCCAATGACTTTTAAATGATCTTAGAAGTGTCTACAACAGATCTTAAATTCAAGTTGAATGCACCTAGAAGCAAGTTATGGTACATTTGCTTATCGACACAAGTCTCAAGTCGGTCAACACAGGCTCAAAATTACAAAGCACACAATTGAGGAAGTCGACTTTGACAGTATGCACATTGGCATTTTGTTATGCTGTGTAACATACTGATTCCTGCTTTTGGGATAGACAGCAGTGTACAGAAAGCACTTTGTGCATCCAACTGCGATCACCTCAGGTGCTAGCTTTGCAAATAGGCAGGAGTATCTGCAGCCACTGACAGCCTGTCATTGCAGTGTACAGGTTCAGCGTCCACTGCTATCCATGTTACTGCATTAGAGCCTTGCTTCCACTCTAAGAGCTGCCTCAGTGTTACTGCTCCCATCCATCCCGATATCCATCTGGCACCTTTATCCTACAGCTACAGAGGTTGGGCTCCAACAAGCGTGCCCTATATAATATACATTTACTGCTATCCACAGCAGCTGTCAATCCCAGCAGCAGGAATCAGCCGTTTCCTACCCTTGGGATTTGCAGTGTGGCAAAACACCCATGTGAATGGTGCCCAAGCTACCCTACTTTCTGTAGTATCTGGCTCCAGTAGACTAGGGTTGGTGTAGGCATTTATTTAGGAGGCCATTTTAAATACTTTGAACAGACTGCACAGAGTATAGGGGTAGTTGTATGGCACTGGGGTGGCCAGGTTGGAAAAGTAGTACAGAATCCCATAAGTCACTTGTAAAATCACTGTAACATGGCTGCAGATCAACTGTAGAGCACTGGATACACTCAGAGGTCTGTAGGAAGAATAAAAAACAGGGAGCGCTGCCAACTAAGTGTAGATATATTGATTAAACAAAGATTAAAAATTACTTTTTTTTTTTTTTGAAGATAAAAAGATGTAAGATCCTCTGTGGAGATCTATAGAACTCGGCAGGGCTGTGGCTGGGTACACAGAACAACGCTGGAAAGTGGCTAGGAGTGGTGTGCAGGGTACCCTCTGGCAGTGCTACTGGAGATGACAGGTCAGTCTGTGAGGTCGCCAGGATGTAGAGCACCACCAGTCCAGAGCCAAAGCGGAGATCCAGAGGAAAGCAGCGGGATGATGTGGAAGGCGTAGGAATGTAGCCTACCCAGCCGTGACCTTGCCAAGTTCTGCCGCTCTCCACAGTGAATGTTACATGTTTTTATCAACATAATAAATGTGAGTATAGTTTTTAAATCTTTCCTTGCTTTATTGATATATCTACACTTAGTTGGTGGCGCTCCGTTTTTTTTTTTTTCTTCTTATTGCACAGAGTATGGCTGATGCCTTCAACACACGACGGATCTACTCGATCTCAAAGCTTTGACTGGAGTTGGAACTACATATAATACATACAGGAAATTCAAACCAATACAAAGAACTCACTGGTTTTGTTTCACTACAATTTTTATTATGCTAAAAATGTTTAAAAATGACAAGTTTGTTTCCTAAAAAAGTTGCAAATGGACCAAAAGTGAAGAGCTCTCACAATTTACCCCAAAGAACTGCAAGTGAAACATGCATTGCCTGCAACTGGGAGGCTTTCAGTGGTAATCCAACACAGTGTGCTTGTTGATAACACAATGGCATTAACGTTAGGTTTAGTGACTGGGTCCAGGCCTTGTTATCGGGAGGACTGTTTGCTTTTATAGCAGCCAAATTATCCCTTCCACTCCCTGTCATTGACTAATGTTGGCTTACACCCTAGTCACACCACTCTGACTTTGAAAGTGTGGGACTTCCAGTGAACTCCCACAATTTCAAAGTTGGATGGTATTCTGACTTTAGATGCAACTTGCAAGACACAGATGTCTATGCAAGTTGCACCTAAAGTAGTGCATGCCCTACTTTAGAGATCGGTGCAGCTCTGCCCAAGGCAGAATCACACAATTTTTTATGCAAGGTTCTCCACCTGTAACAAAACCCAGCCTAGGGCCGATTTAGGTCATAAGCTGACCTCTGCCACCTGTGTAACCAAACATTTAAATTCGAATTGAAGCTTATGAGTTTACCTAGTCATCCCTCCTTTAGCAATGAGTTTGGATTGGCTGATTACGGCTGAACTTTATACAGTGCATATCAAAAGAATACTACTTTTCCATAATAATGTTACCAAGTTTCCCTCATTGTCCCCACCCAAACTATGCCCCTACAGTGCAGGATGTCCTCTTGTGCAAAATGCTGTGGCCCACTGTGTTCACTTCTGTGAGTTGGCCTTTTCATTACATTATGGCAGTGAGCTTTGCAGACATTATGACTGGCAGGTACCTGATTCGGTCTTTGTATAGATTCCATTTAATCCCTTGAAAATTAGAACTGTGAAATTTAGAGTCTTTTTCTGAAAGATGATACAACCCTATTTACTCAAAGAAAACTATAGTAAGGATCTTGAGGTTGCCATTGCTGATTTCCTTCCTTTGCTAACCAAAAGGTGGTGACTAAAAAAACTAGCATTTTCCAGCATTCCAAGCGCTTTCTCCCTGCAGTGGGACATCTTTGTAGGAGTGGCCTTGGCAGCCCAGTGGGCATGATATATGTAAATATAAGTTTTCTGTCACGCTCCAAAGAAATCTCAGAGTGCTTGGGTGGAATCAGTCGTTGCTGGGCAGGTTCATATGTACTGGATGAACTTAGCAGGTATTGAGCAGTGCGGATTACAAAATGATGAAAGTGCGTGCCTCTAGGGCAGCCTCTCTCAACTAGGGTGTCTTGAGGTTTCTTCAGGGGTGCCTTGGAACAATGTCTAAAAATTGCCCAAAACTTGTATATAAGCCAACGGGGTGGAATAAGCCTTCCTTTTAGTTACACAAAGTCACAGGTTTTTGTTGTGCACCATTACGACCTTCTAGCCACCTGACAATCAATGACATCCTCAGTTGATAAGGAGGATGTCAGTTGCCAGCACAGCATCCTAGTTTGATCTTCCCCTGCCCCTCTCCATCAGTGCTGGGGTCACATTAGTTCAGTGATGGATGAAAACTAAGAAGAGAAACACTCAGTACCAGTGTGCAAAAGTGTATTTGCTGTGAAAGAATAAATAGCCTCTAATGTTGGGTGTCCTACATGTGTGGATGTTGCTGCATTATATAAAACTATTAGAATAATTTTTCACATTTTAGAACGGGGTGCCTCAAGACTGTCCATAATTTTAAAGGGTGCCATGACTGAAAAAAGGTTGAGAAACACTGCTCTAGAGCACTGGCCTGTGACCGTATTATGCCATCATGGCAAACTGCAGTCGTGCAGCTCAATGGATGCAAAAGGTGGCAACAGAGGATTCAGAAGAGAGGAGCAGGCATTTTGACCCCGGCAGTAAAGAAAGGGTGTATATATATATATAAACAATCCCCCCCCCCAAAAAAAAAAAACTTTTGGCCACAAGGTAAAGTAATTTTCAGCGACTGTTAGGAAAAAAAAAAAAAAAAACAAAACAAAAAAACTAATCTGGAGCAAACGTAGACCAGGAAATGCAGTTCAAGGAAGTATTGAAGCCATTGGACCAGAATGACCATCATGAAACTAGTATTTATTGTCAATGGTAACCTCAGTTCAAGTGTCCTTTGTACCACCATGGGTTAGAGATAGGTCCTTTGAAGGCTCATAATCTAAGCTCCTTTACGTGCAAGTTGTTAGTACCTTCCTACGGTACAAGTCCTATTATAAACACAGCCCTATTCAAGTAAAGGGGTCAGTGTGTACAAGCCTGAAAACTGGGGTCCCAGTTATGAACACTAGAAATTTCCCATGATATCCTGCCAATCATAATATACATATTATGTACATGACCTATTACACTTTCTTCCTCCAAGGCAATGCATGTAAAACTACAAACCCTACAGTAGGCACTGTAGAGCACATACAGTCCTTTAGGGGTGTTTCAGGAATTGCTTGATTGGAATATAAATGCAGTATCAATTAAAAAAAAAAACAGACATAGTTGGCTAAATTTAACAAAGCAATGAACTTTATCATGAACTAACTCTCTACAAGTGACCCTGTCGCCATTGATGTGGAATGCATTTATAATAGTAAGAATCCACGTTAAAGGCTACAGCCAGCTGGGTATGAACATTGTTGTGGAGAGCTGCAAAACTACTTCATCTTCAGAATCCACAGTATCAGTTTTCATCATTAAAAATCTGCCAAATCTTCAAGAATGTAGCATAGTTTCATCCAGTCAATAATGGAGCTTCATAACGGTAAAAAAAAAAAAACAGCCAGATTTCTGTGTGTGGGTCAGTACCATATACAGGCACATATTTGGGTACCTCGGCCAGTCAGTAAAATTGCTTCTACAACTGACAGTATCTTGCTAACTGCATGATGTAAAAATTGTATGTTTGCGATTTCATAGGAAAACTTTGATTCTGGCAGTTTTGCCTATTAATTAAACCAGTTTAGGCAATTTTTCACTAATTTTTGTTATCTAAAGCTATTTAATTTCACCATCAAGATTTCCCACCGGTGCTGCATGAGTCACAGCATTAATTTTTTATAATTCTAAACAAGCACCTAAACAGTCAATATAAATATATATTAAAAAAACCAAGACAGGTTTGCTCACATTTCAAAAGCTGGAAAGCCACAGTCTGATTCTGAACAATTACATATATCAAGAGTTTATGTAGTATAAGGACTTAACTAAACCTTTCAATTTATGTCTAAAACAACCTCATCCTAGATGGTAAAATCTGACTGTTTGAACAATCTTAAAAATGTGCCATAATTCCTTCATTGTCTACCGCAACTTACTACCTATATGAGGTATTATAAAGAGTGTGGGATCTGGTGTCATGTCAGACGCAAATGTGAGACAGCAAGGGGAGGTCATGTCCAGGAAGAGATGACAAGATAATCTATCTACATATAATGGAAAAAAAAAAGTTTATCCAAAATTACAAGAAATAAAGCCAGTAGCTGCATGTACTTTACAATCTGTGCCAAATTACCAACTGATCTGAACTATATACACATCACTGTCATGCAGGCTGCTCTATCTCCTTGTTGAATACAGCAGTAGGTTTCTTGCTTAGGAATGTGGTGCTTCTTTATCTAGCATCATTCTGAGGCTAGTGCCTTATTAATTCACACATATTACACCATACAGACCACACGCATATCCATAGGTGGGCATGTGTGGACACATTACCAAAAAGAACAAAAAAAGAAAAGAAGAGCAGCTGCTAGGCTAAGTTTACCTTTTTATCCTACATCAACACCCCTTTCCTCTATTTCTACTTGGAACCTACCTTTCACATAAAGGTGAAAAGAAAACACTATTGCATTTATCCTTATAACAAAGCAGGAAGCCACAGTGGGGCTATGAATGCTTCCTTCATGTATGGAAATGCCATCTGTAGGATACACTAGCTTTAAATAACCTAACATCTGTGTTTTGTCATCACTCACTGGGACTAACCAGAAGGAAAAGCCCTCTCTAACACTTCTCCCCATAGAAATTACTAATAAACACTACCACAGTCAGGTTTGTGGGCCTATTGACGTTTGTGGCGGACTGGGCTCGGTGTGCTCTCACTATAGGTTTCCTGGTCAACTGCCACTTTTTCTCCCTCTTCACTTTTGGCAAGCTGCATCTCTGCCTCCATAAGGTACCCAGAATCCTCCTCACTTGTACCCACAATAGTATCAAAGCCTGCATTAGAATCTTCATTGCCGCTTCCAATGGTAACTCTTGCTCGATTCTCGCTGGTCAGCTTTGTTTGTACAGAGCTGCTCTTATCTGCCAGATTAACAAAGTCTTCATCTTTGTGACTGGTAGTGCTAGCCGTTTTCTCTTTTTCATCCTCCGAATTTAATGATGAAACGCCGCCTTGGGAAGCCATGCGATTCTTTGCAGCTTTGTATCTCTGTAAACATAAAGTCAAAGATTAATGTGGAAATGACTATGCTGGATCTAGAAGGCATCCAGCGCTAACATTCCTTTTGTTTGGGGCTTGAAGTAACCTGACTCTTAAAACTGTTCTTGCTATACATAAAGCCTTTACAGTTTTTCCATGTACAGTTCCCTTGCGCAAGTCAGTGATTTGGCAAAATTTTGTATTCCATTTTTGTAATGCATGTCAGAACGTTACCTTGGTTTGCCAAGTTTAGTTCTGCATGCAGCCAGTAAACATGACCCTGTACTCCAAAGGTTTTTCAGTTGGAGTTCTGTATATCAAAAAGGTCTCTCGGCTTCTCAAGCAAGATCCCTCTTCCGAGTAAGTACTTAAAATGTGTTGGTGGCTATATCATGGGAGAAGGTGTCATATGTACACAGGTCTTGTTCCAACACAGCCACACATGGTATGGGAGAACTCTAGGTACAGATTACTAACTGCAAGCTGGTTAAATTCCAAACCATTTTTTTGCATTTATTTTTTTAGAGTAAACCTAGCCTTTGTTTAGCATTTATTGAGACACAGGAATGCATTGACTGTTGAGTGACACTGCTACCTACAGGAAGATTTGGACACCAAACAAAATTCAGTGGCAGCTCTGTGCAACTCTTCCTATTGCCAGCATGGATGTCTTTTCTCTACTGAAAAAAAAAAAGTCTAAAACTTTGATAGCTGTATTTAGAGACCAGCTCAAGCATCTTGCAAAGGATTCTTGACTGAAGAAAAAAAAAAAAAATAAAAAAACTAAACAATCTAGATCGATCATTCCTCAACAGTAGCTTTGGAGGCTCTACCTGGGTCCCTGGTGGCCTGGATGACTGCAGACTAGCCTGGAATGAGACCTTCAGGCACTGGGCTCTGCGTTGTGGAGCTTTAAAGGCTTGAGAGTACTGTGTCCTGGGTTGTGAAGACTCACTTTATGAGTAGGCTGAGTGGGCCTAACGTTGGGTTCCCTTTTATTTGGGCCTTGGAGAGTCATTTTTAATTCCTTTTTTGACTGGAAGGGGTTAACACTTAGTGACTGAGCACCAACATTATCAGCTAGGTGAAGTATCACACACTCTCACTCTCTCTCACTCTCAGCTTTCTTTCCTGCAAATTCCAAAATTGCGGAGGCACTTTCCCAATCCTCCTGACTACTATTCCACTGACCTTGGCACCTAAACCTTTCCCACTGTTTGTATGCAAAGCCTTGCCTTATACTCTGCGCTACATTGCCCCTGCCTTGCATTGCAACATATTGTATCCTAGACACATGGGAAACAGTTCAACTGTACTGGGCACTCCCACTTCAGCAGATGCTGACTCTGAAGACAGAGGTAATAAACATACTTCAATGCCATCCGCTACAGAATTCTTAGCAGATTGGCCACAGCATTAGTAGCCCTGAGCCTTCAGCCACCACAACTGATGCAGAGTACCTTAACGAACAGTGTTACACCCATGAAGTCATAGGTCACTATCATTACTCCCAGACTTAAGAGACTCTTAGTGACATGGCTTGCACAACTTTAAAGCTTGAAGACAGCAGCTTGTACTAGTGCTGTATCCAGTTTAGGCTCCTTTAGGGTCCCTAAGGCTCCCTTTTTCAGTGCATCCATGGTTTTCAGTCCTCCACAATGGAGCCTGTAAAATTTCTGACAAGCTCTTCAGTCCTCCCAAATGGCTAGCATCTTTTTACACATTAGCAAAGTACGCCTCAAACAGGTAATGCCCCTGCTGTAAATTATTTATTTCAGGTACTTATATAGTGCCATCAATTTACGCAGCTCTTCACATATATATTGTATATTCACATCAGTCCCTAACCCTCAAGGGGCGTACAATCTAAGGTCCCCAACTCACATTCATACATACTTGGGACAATTTAGACAGGAGCCAATTCACCTACCAGCATGTCTTTGGAGTAAATGCAGCTGTATCCCATTTTAAAAGCAGTATTATATTACACACACACACGCACACACACACACTAAAAGTAGACCCTCTGCATGTTTATGCCATGTACTTGTATGCACCACATACTAGCACATTATGACAGCAATGCACTGTCACCCCTGCTGCTGGTCCCAGCCAATTCCATCTTTGCCTGGTCTTCCATTGCTTCAGCCGCCAACATGGCTGGGCTGCAATCACATAACTGCAGCACATGGGAGGTCACATCATCAGGACGACACAGAGCGGGTGCCGTTAATGTTATCTGATCTGGCTTGTGCAGCTCAGATTACATTAAGATCGACAGTCAGGGGGAGGCATTTGTGACAGAAAACACCACCAGGGTCTCTTCTGTTATAAAAAAACCATGCCTGTCAGCCTTTTTTTGCAAATTGGACTTTAAATACCCATTTTTAACAATCCCTGTGGAGTCAGCATCTGCTTTTAAGGACCTTAGCAGCAAGGAATTGGAGGCCCTTTCCAAAACCTTGTCCCAGGCTAGGTTGCAAAGCAAGGCATATCATTAAGAACATCTGTAAGCCTTTATGGACTTTAGGATAGCCAGCATCTCAGATGCCTGGGTGTGAGAGGCAGTTTCTGGTGACTACAAACTAGAACTCTGCTGTCTGACCAATCCTCAATGTAGGTCTTTCAACATGCCTGTCACCACACTGATTTTCAGATTCACTTACAGCCCTCTCAAATTTTCTAAAGCAAGGAGTCATCACCCCCCATGCTTGTGGCAGAATGGTTCCAAGGGATCTACTCCAACCTATTCAAAGCTCCTTAACAAAAGGGGGCATTAATCCCATCTAGAAACTCAAGACCCTAAAGGTCTTCATTCCTGTTCAATAACTCCACTTAGAATCAACCAGATCTGCCTTTCCAGCAGGGAAACTGTGGTCTCTGAGGACAAAAAGGATGCATACTTTCATGTTCCTATTTCTGAGGCGCATCAGCAGTTCCTTCACTGCGCTATGGGTCCTAAGCACTTTCAGTTAGAAAGTGCTCACCAAGGTGAGGGCCCCTGTGCTAGCAGATGCAACACTCTTACTTGAGCAGACGTTCTGTGAGCTATTCCAGATAGTCTGGATCTTCTGACCAGGGTTTGGTTTACCATCCTGTTTCATGGTCGGTGCCTGATTGTTGGAGGAAAATTCCTAAGGGACAGAGGGAGCTCTGAATCAGTGATTCCCATGATACTAAAGGCTAGTAAGTCTACTATCATACATGGAAGGCATACTTTGCTTGGTGTAAGGTAAAGAATTTCACAAGAAATTCTTTGGAATGAATCCTGGCTTTCCTGCAACAGGGGTCTTTAACAACATTTGGCATTAAATACTCTCAAAGGGACAGGTTTCAAAGCTTGCAATCTTGTTTCACAGACTGATGGCCCTCTCATTCTTTAATTAAGACCTTTCTACTGTGCGTTTCCTATGTGGCTTCATCTGTGCCTCCACTGGATCTGAAACTCTGCACTTCAAAAATTACCCTTTGCAACTGAATTCCTTGCTGCAGCTGGGAGGTTTGGCTGCCCCCCTGGATTTGCTTTGTGTGAGGAAAGTGCTTGAGCTAGTGGCCTTATCTTGTAAAAAAAAAAAAACATTTTTTGGTTTTACACAGCGACAATGTGTTACCAGAACTTCCAACCTAAGATCGTTTTTCAGCCTTTCATCTCAACCAGGACATTATCCTTCCATCCCTCTGTCTAGCTTGTTTATCAACAAGAGATCTCCCTCCACTGCTTGGATGCAGTGCATACTTTGTGGATCTACAGTCAGGTCCATAAATATTGGGACATCGACACAATTCTAACATTTTTGGATCTATACACCACCACAATGGATTTGAAATGAAACGAACAAGATGTGCTTTAACCGCAGACTGTCAGCTTTAATTTGAGGGTATTTACATCCAAATCAGGTGAACGGTGTAGGAATTACAACAGTTTGCATATGTGCCTCCCACTTGTTAAAGGACCAAATGTAATGGGACAGAATACTCATCATAAATCAAACTTTCACTTAATACTTGGTTGCAAATCCTTTGCAGTCAATTACAGCCTGAAGTCTGGAACGCATAGACATCACCAGACGCTGGGTTTCATCTCTGGTGATGCTCTGCCAGGCCTCTACTGCAACTGTCTTCAGTTCCTGCTTGTTCTTGGGGCATTTTCCCTTCAGTCTTGTCTTCAGCAAGTGAAATGCATGCTCAATCAGATTCAGGTCAGGTGTGATTGACTTGGCCATTGCATAACTTTCCACTTCTTTGCCTTAAAAAATTCTTTGGTTGCTTTTGCAGTATGCTTTGGGTCATTGTCCATCTGCACTGTGAAGCGGCGTCCAATGAGTTGTGAAGCATTTGGCTGAATATGAGCAGATAATATTGCCCGAAACACTTCAGAATTCATCCTGCTGCTTTCGTCAGCAGTCACATAATCAATGAATACAAGAGAACCAGTTGCATTGGCAGCCATACATGCCCACGCCATGACACTACTACCACCATGCTTCACTGATGAGGTGGTATGCTTAGGATCATGAGCAGTTCCTTTCCTTCTCCATACTATTCTCTTCCCATCCCTCTGGTACAAGTTGATCTTGGTCTCATCTGTCCATAGGATGTTGTTCCAGAACTGTGAAGGCTTTTTTAGATGTCGTTTGGCAAACTCTAATCTGGCCTTCCTGCTTTTGAGGCTCCCCAATGGTTTACATCTTGTGGTGAACCCTCTGTATTCACTCTGGTGAAGTCTTCTCTTGATTGTTGACTTTGACACACATACACCTACCTCCTGGAGAGTGTTCTTGATCTGGCCAACTGTTGTGAAGGGTGTTTTCTTCACCAGGGAAAGAATTCTTTGGTCATCCACCACAGTTGTTTTCTGTGGTCTTTCTGGGTCTTTTGGTGTTGCTGAGCTCACCGGTGCGTTCCTTCTTTTTAAGAATGTTCCAAACAGTTGTTTTGGCCACGCCTAATGTTTTTGCTATCTCGCTGATGGGTTTGTTTTGTTTTTTCAGCCTAATGATGGCTTGCTT